TATCTAATTATTCTTTAAATGGTCCATTTACAGTGGCACATTTTTTTAAGGTATAGGACATCGTAATGATCCATTTAAAATAAATATTAGTTCTGAGAAAATCAGTAGTTTACAAGTTACAATATTTTTTTGTGTGGAATATTATATATATATTTATCATGAGCTTTTCGGTGAAGTACAACATAGTGAGGAAACCTGCGCGTTGAATAAAGTTCACAACCCTCGAAATACATGTGATTTCCCCAACCCGCATTGGGGCAGCGTGGCGAACATAAACGTATTTTTTTGACAATTGTCTACTTCATCTCTTGTCTTGTCATCATTGAAAACTATTCCACTAAATCAAGTGAAGTTGGTGAGCAATTTTTGTGTTTGTTCTTAGATTGCGCAGTTATGTTAGATAAGCTTGGTTGGTATAGCGTCTGCCACGGTAAGCTAGAAGACGTCGGTTCCAATCCGGCCGGATCGAAGGAATTTTTCTGAGTGTTCGATCTTTGTATTAATAATTATAACAAACTAGTGGAGTAATTTCACAAAAAATAATTGAATATCAATTCAATAAAAATTTAAAATATTTTAGATAATTTTCTAATTATCGAAAAAGTACATATAAAAAATTCTAGACTATTAATTTTCCTGGAAATACGTTTTATTTAAATGGGCCATTACAATGTCTTCTACCTAAAAAAAACTTTTACCAATATAAATGGGCCAGCCTGTAATGTATATATAATACACGTTCCAAATTTAATTTGTCCCTCTACGACTTTTTCAGAAGAAACTAAGCTTAATACTATTGGGCTTAGCACTTTTGACGTTAGCTAAAGCGTACAAGAATCCATACTATGTTGCTGGCCGGTCGGTAAACGTGCATCTTTTTGAATGGAAGTGGGATGATATTGCTGCCGAATGTGAAATATTCCTGGGACCTAGAGGCTTTGGAGGGATACAGGTGACTGGAAATTAAACGACAATTTACCTAAACAGAATCATAAATGGATTAAATACTTCCTTTTAAGTAATAGTAGAGCGCCCTGAGAAAGGTTCGGTCTTGGAAGTACTACCACCTTGCCTATTTCTCCCGCCAAGTAGTATTGTGAGCATTATTGCGTTCCGGCTTTAAAGGTTACAAATTTTCAACTTATGTCCAAAGGGGAAGGACACTGTGGCAGTGCCCCTTAGATCTTTGCGATTTAAAACTCTGAGTGTCACTGCAACTGTTGTAGGCAGGCGTATCACTACTCCCGTCGTATGACTTGTTCGTTCCATTTGATATCATAAAAAAATTGTATCCTTAAAAGCAAATAATTACCTAAATGCAATGAATATCAATGTTTATAAGTGTGTAGATATAATATATAACGTACTGTACCTTCATTATAATTACAGATTTCCCCTCCAAATGAAAATGTAGTATTATGGGGCTACAACCGTCCTTGGTGGGAACGCTACCAGTCGATGTCATACATATTGCATACCCGGTCAGGAAACGAGCAACAATTAGCTAGCATGATTCGACGTTGCAATAACGCAGGAGTCAGGTAATCCAGTCATAAGAATGATATTACATAAAATTTATTCCAATGCGAGATTTTCTTATATACGTATAATAACGCACATACTCCCATGAGTATCCCTATACTCCCTAGTGCGGGACTATCCCCGCACTAGGTTAACCCCCCTAGGGTTTTCCTAGTGCGGGGTTATGGGCTATAGGGGCTAAAGACAGGGATACACAAAGAGACAACCACAAATTACATCCAAACTCACGAGAGAAATAAATGCAGGCCGTACATGTCTTTCACCCGGCTCGGCAACAGATCGGGCATTGTGACGGTTACAAAAAAAAATGTTTCAATAAAAATTATGTAACTTACTGTATGGGTATATTATTATAGGTTTGGAGGGCTACTCACTCATGAATATACGCACGTTTATCTTCCTAAGGCCCCGTGTATATCAATATGTACATTATAATATTATTCAGATTCGTGTACACAACGCTGTATACATTTTAATGAAAATATCGCATTCCAATTTAGCGCTACATATTATACGACCAATGCGACTATGAGATATCTAGAAAAAGCGTTTTTTATATAAAATTGGGGGCATGCTTATATAACTACCTCCGAGGCTGAACGGTTACCATGCCGAACTGCCACGCAGAGGTCCTAGGTTCTACGCCCGGGTCGGGAGAAATATTTGTATGGCCTACATTTATTTCTCTCGTGAGTTTGGGTGTAATTTGTGGTTGTCTATGTATGTGTTCACGGCACCCGCGAAACATGGTTTCCGTAGAGCGGCGGCTATATAGAGTGTGAGCGTTATTGTTATTATTATTATTATTTGTTTAGGCCTAAAGCGTATAATTTGTATTTAATAGAAAATACTTTGGTAGCTTAGCGTTTTTCCCATTGTAGTTTCCGAAGTCTTAGAAGGATACAATATGTCTAAATTCAACTTAAAATTGGCGCATCTTTTAAGTACTTTGGAGTTCATAGTTCTTGTTAACACGAACGACCAGACATGCAGTTCATTTTAGTAACAAGTATTTTCTTTCAGAATATACGTAGATGCCGTGATAAACCATATGACGGGTGAGCCTCCAACGAACGTAGGTACTGCGGGTAGTACTGCGATATTTAATCAGTGGTATTACCCCGCTGTGCCTTACAGGAGGGAGCACTTCAACTATCCAGTATGCGGCATTTCCGACAGTGACTGGACTCAGAATGCTGTCAACGTAAGGAAATTTCAAAACGCATTTCATTCAAAGATATAAAATTATTTTTTTCATTTATTTACAGTAGTTATGCTTAATACATATTACTAATGATGATTAAGTTAAACGAAAAATGTGTGTTAACGGTTAATCATTCTTCACTTCAATTTATGAGAAACTTTATGAGTTTCTTTAATGTTCAATCCTGAGTGTAAAAAAATGTAATCCAAACTTTGTTTATTGTGTTGTTTTAGGTACGTAATTGTGAACTTTCGGGGTTAAAAGATTTGAACCAAGGTAATGAACACGTAAGACAAATGATTGTCAATTATATGAATACACTCATCGACATGGGAGTTGCTGGTTTCAGGTGAGTAACTTAGTTACAAAATGAATCATATCATATTAATATCTAAAGAAACCGGCGCTGAATTATTTGCAATTGATAGGATTGACGCAGCAAAACACATGTGGCCAGGAGATCTTCGTATAATTTACGATCGTCTTCACAACTTGAATACAAACCACGGGTTCCCCGCGAACGCTCGACCTTACATCTATCAAGAAGTTATTGACTACGGCGGTGAAGCCATTAGTAGAAACGAGTATACGCCTATAGGAGTAGTTACAGAGTTTATAGTTGGAAGGGAGTTAAGTAGGTGCTTTAGGGGACAAAATCAGCTCAGATGGCTAAATAATTGGGGGCCGCAATGGGGTCTTTTGGCTCACCAAGACTCTTTTACCTTCATTGACAATCACGACAATGAAAGAGGTCACGGTGGCGGAGGTGGTATCCTGACCTATAAAGAACCCAAGGCATATAAAGGTGCAATAGCATTCCTACTCGCACATCCGTACGGAGAACCCCAGATTATGAGCAGTTTCGACTTCTGGGACAGTGAAGTTGGACCCCCAATGGACAGCAATGGTAATATCATATCCCCCGCTATCAATTCGGTGAGTTTAAAATACATGGCTACTTAAAATAATAATGTGCGAATGTAATTTTTAAATTATGTATGTTATCTTTTGACACTACATTATCTAATGATAACGTAATATATTTGTTGCAGGTAAGTATGGTATATAGGTATATCTTTTCTTATTAATTTCCATTTTGATAATGAGCGAATATTCCTAGGTGCTTTATTGTAAATTTTAGGATGGTACGTGTGGTAACGGCTGGGTGTGCCAGCACCGTTGGCGTCAGATCTACAACATGGTAGGCTTCAGGAACGTAGCAGGAGATGCAGGTTTGAACGACTGGTGGGACAATGGGAATAGTCAGATCGCTTTTTGCCGAGGCAACCGCGCCTTCATCGCTATTAACAATGACAGTTGGAACCTAAATGAGAACTTGCAGGTTTGTAATTTTTAGAAGGATTATTTATTAACACATTCGCGCGAGGATCGTGCTTTTACCGCCTAATCCGCTGTGGCAGATAGTTTACGTTTATATATATATATAAACGTTTCTTCTACTAAGAAATAATGATAATGACGTCAATAAACATTGGCCTCTATAGCGCCCGCCGACGCTATGCCTATATGCCAGCGATGATTGCCATGTGTGAGTAGTGCTTACTTACCCTGTGTGAAATTTCGATACTGCGTGTCGCTAGAGATTCAATGTTTTCATATATTGTAGAGCAATGACGTCAATATTAAGATTTTGTATAGCCTGATAACGTTCTCTTACGTAACTCGATGAAATAAAACAAATTAAACGACGTAATAGTACGTTGTTCTACATCACTTACAAATGCTTAGAGCGGCATCGAACGTAACACGCGCGAATGTGTTAAATGTGTATTATCTAGTTAGGTCAACTACCAATAAATTACAGCTTTACCGTACCGTGCACTTGCTACCTTAACGTGGCGATTCAACAGGGAACCAACGCAGGTGATTCTCAAACCTCGTAAAATAATTTCCTTACTTTTTCTTAGTATAGGCTCTACACAAATTGAATTTAAGTTATCTTCGTGATCTTGAAAATGGAATACATTGTAGACGTGTCTCCCAGCGGGTCGCTACTGCGACGTGATATCGGGCAACAAAGTAGGCAATTCGTGTGAGGGCAAAACCATCACAGTGGGCAACGATGGCCGAGCACAGATCACCATCGGCCCGCAAGAGCACGATATAATTCTGGCCATACATGTTGGATCAGAGGTACGCTACATAACATAATATTATAATTGATTTTAATACGTAGACTTAATTATGCTTAATTACGAGAAAAAATTATATGAAACTTTATCTAGTATGTTTCTTATAAAATTCTAATTATTGAAGATCACTAATACACTGAACTTTAATTCATACGTGTCTGTGTTTCAGAGTCGCCTGTAATCTTATTGAAGACAAGCAAGACGAAACCGGAAAACATGAACAACAATATGTTTTATAAAAATAAAATAAAACGCTTTCTTCCAATAAAAAAATTCACCGTTTATTTGTATTTCCTATCACATGTTTTATCTACCGACAAAGAAATTTAACTTGCAACGAAACACACTTAAAAAAGTTTGCTTTTTAAAATAAGCACATAAACACGTTCCGCCATCTATATTTCGTAAACAAATTAATTCGTCAACGTGTCAACTTACTTATCTTAAAACCTTTAGTGGTCTACTCTTGCTTTTCGCTACCAACACAACGTTGCATAATCATACATTTAACATAAAAGTCTATGCGTTTAAACGTTTTTCTAATCGATTTAGTAAGCTTCAAACTAACAAGCATTTAAGTGAAAAGCGTTTAAAAAAGCACAACGTTTAAACGCTTAAAAAAATAAGTAGTTTTTCCCATCTCTACTGTTAGTGATTGACATTGCTATACGATTGTACCGACACATACACCAGACTAGGCAATTTTTTAAGAACTTAATTGATCATGTAGGACAAAGTGAGGTGATGCAGGAAACGGAGGTTTTTTTATGATAATATATACATATGTATATGATATATAAATTGATACCAAATAACGGGACGAACAAGTCGTGCGTCTGGTGTTATGCGACATGTCTGTCCATAACAGTTTCAGTGACATTCAGAGCTGTAAATCGCAAAAATCTGAGGGGCACTACCACTGCGCCCGTCACTCTGAGACATAAGACGAGCAATCCCATGTGTCTGTAATTTCACCAGTACCCTTACCCCTCAAAACCGGTACGCAATAATGGTTATATTACTGCTTGGCAGCGGAAACAGGCAGTACTGCTATAATGAGGTTTAGCATTAATATCATTTTATTACTAAAAATGTACGGTGGTCGAGTGGTTGGCACATCAGTTTTCATCCCTGGCCGAGACGGCGTAGAAAAAAAAATACATTTTCTATATTGTCTCGGGTCTGGGTGTCTGTGGTATGTACCGTCGTTGTTTCCGATTCCCACAACACAAGTGCTTTAGTTACTTACTTTGGGGGCAGAGCAACGTATGTGATCTTGTCCAATATTTATATACATAGTTCAAAAATTCAACGTATAAATGAACGAAATGTTGTGGAATTTGGTCTTGGTGTAGAAGGTTTGTGTCGACAAACCTTTTAGAAATATGTTGTAAACACTAATACGAATATTAAATACATAATGTTCTGAAAATCACAGTTTACATATTTCATTAAATAGAACCATATAAAAGTTTGGACCTTTGTAAGCTGTTGCGAAATTGCATAATACGTATTGCATGTACGGACAACAGCACATCAGACTACACATTTTTGTTCGAAAATCGCCTCCAGTGCAATGGAACAAGATACGTCTTGATATTCTGTTGACTGTACATAATTCCAAAAGATTGGCCTGAATATTTCGCTTGACAGGCATTTTGTTGATCGCAGAAAAGCTAGATTTATATATCATGGATGGAGAGATGAGTAACTGAGCTACAATGAGTCCTGAAGAATAAATAACATCTAATGCTATAAAATGAAAGTCTGATTTGTGTATAGGTATACATATATATCAATCAATTTTTCACCTCACTAGCTCGGAAAGGCTTTCTTTCTCATTAGAAATCTGCGTGCAAAAGCGTTTTTTCCACGCTAGCTTGCGAAAGGTTTTTGGAATTCGAACTTCACAATAGACTACGGTGCACCTAACTTTTCCTTTCGATGAAAAAAAAGATAATGACACGGTACGCGATTTGTCATACATTATTTATGTAATTTAAATCCGTTGGTATATTTTATTCTTATTATTGTTGACATTAAATTGACAACGATAACTAATTTTGTTTATTAAAACTGATTTGTTACAGTTCAAATGTTTTTCTTTCTTTCTACCCATTGACTTACAAATAATTCTACCATTTTCCTCGCTATAGTGAAGTGAAAAGTTGTGTGTTTCGCTCGGTAGCAAAGTTGTTTTGCGTCTCGTGTCTTGAAACCCTCTCTATACACAGGATTCTGTTTTTGAACCACTACTCTTACTTGCACAAGTTTCAAGCCTTTGTATCTAAACTGCCTTCCAATACAAGTCGTCCTGTAAAAGATTTCAATGTAAATACGCTTAATATTCTGCCTGACTATCATTATTATCAAAAATTATAAAAACCATAGTCGTTTAGTTTGTAGGAACTAAAGAAATGACTACCTTTTATTTAAATCTGATATGTACAAATATATTACCTTGCACTTTTACAATGAGATAGGTATAATAAGATAAAATAAAAATAAAAAAATATACGAAAACATGAATACATGTTTTGCATGTCATCTTACATACTTCGATTTATATTTGTTACTTCGCTTTTATTAGACAATAAGTTGAAATATACAGGTACAATAAAAGCTTAAATACTAGAAAGTAACACTAGGATTAAATTATATGAATAAAATGTGGTTCGCGCGGCAATGTGTCCAATGTGCTGGCAGCGTTCCCCCTTTGTATAACTATGTTAATACGTTGAGCAAGGTAGCTACCGGTCCTTGGGTTTCCTAGACAGCCTGTTAATTTTTTGTATAAAATTCTGTACAGATTTATGAGGGTTTCGACTCCAAAGGCTGTAAAAAAGTCGGAGCCGAGGCTTTAGTACTTATTACTTTTTATTCTTAATAAATTTAAAAAAGTTAAAAATTATGTGCAGTTTGCGTGATACGCACGCGCTACACAATGAACAAAATGCAGTGTAATGGTATCACAAATGTCTACCCTACTATTATCCACTTAGGGCCACGCAAACAATATTTAAGTTAAGTTCTTTTGTTTTTCTGTTTTCAATCTGAATTCATGATGGACCAGAAATTGCTACATTAGTTCCACAGAAACTTAACAAAATTATAATAATAATCATAATTTATTTCCAATCACAATGGTACTGATCTTACGACATGTGTATATATATATATACACATATATATATATATATATATATGTACACACCTCGTATACGCGAGTATACCCCGTGTTAAAATACGAAGTAAAAATAAATCCTGTTCGTAAATATCTATATTAGTATATAGACACAACAATTTTAATTTAAAAATAGCTCTGAAAATTAGCATTAACATTTTAATTACGTGAATGAGTATAGTTGCGTGTTCGTTCACAATCAGTTCATAAAACTCATCAATTGATAGAGCAAAAGACTATATACTGAAAGTAAAATATAGTAATTTTAACTGCCTCTGTGGCCGAACGGTTATCATGTCGGTCTGCGACTCAGGCTTCGATTCCCGGGCCGGGAGAAATATTTATTATGGCCCACATTTATTTCTCTCGTGAGTTTAAGTGTAATTTGTAGTTGTCTATGTGTGTGTCCATGACACCCGAGACACAGGGTTTCCCTAACGCGAGGCTGTTTTTGTGTGTGTTATTATTACGTTAAATCATGACATATTGGTTATACCCTACTACTCAATCGTAAGGCAGACTTCCCTGGGAATAATGAATAAGAAACTCTAGGGATTGAAATAAAAAAATACGGAATAGTATAAAATGCTCTTGTAGGTCCATTTACGAACCTGTGTTCCCGTTTAGTCACCGGTTACAACCTACAAAATTTTAATAGGTAGTTTATAGTGTAATTTGCTCAAATTCAGTTACGTGTAAATAATATAATGTAAATAGTAGTATGTGTAGCGAAGTGTTAATATAAAAAATAGAGGTCCTTCTTGGCAAGCATTTAAGGGGATAAATATTATCGTCAACCATTACAATTACGCTACATATACATACATATATACAATATTTACGCAAATTGAATGAACGCACTAGTTACTTACGTTGTTCGTACGTGAGGCGCACTATAAGTTTCAGGAATGAATAAGAAAAAAATATTATAAATGGTCAGAAATAAATTTATTGTTTCTCAAAATATTCTCCTCACTTTTTCATACGAAATAGCCAATTTTGAAAACATTTATGCCACTCCTCCGTGACAATCTCTGAAACATATTTTTCATACTCTTCCACAGTCTCTTCAGGTGATGAAAATCGTTGACCGCGTAACTGGTTCTTAATTTTTGGAAATAAATAAAAGTCACAAGGTGCCAGGTAGAGACTGTACATAGGATGTCTCATAAGGTCAACGTTGTTCACCTTCAAAAATTCATTTGTCTGTCTGGCCGTGTAAGAACTGGCGTTATCATGGTGCAAGATAATACGGCGTTTACGGAGTTTGTCAATAACTTCCGGCAAACAAATGGTCGTGTTCCAATTCTCCAATTCAAAGTCTGATAAGAATGGCATTGCACCAAGTAATGCGATCCGTTTTTTGAGCCTCAGTCAAATTGTGTGAGATCCACCGAGAGCACAGCTTTTTCACACCGAAATGTTTGTGTAATATTGATTATATTTGACTCATGCCAACGCCTAAAGATGCCCGAATATCATGGTATGTCACATTCCTGTCTGTTTTGATCATGCGGCGCACAGCATCCGCATCATCATCATGTTTTTGTTGTTTACAGCAGTGGGCGGGCGACCGTCACTGAGATTCACAAGACCGCGGTTGAATTCTGCAAACCAGCAATAAATAATCGTCTTGCATGGTGCTTCATCGCCAAAAACAGTTTGAAGCCGAGCGAAGTTCCGCTGAGCTGTTAAATTACACTTAAAGTCGTAGAAAATCATATTACGAAAATTTTCACGAGTTAAATCCATGGTGATGTAGACAACCAATTTCTAAAATGACGCCACAATGTAAAAACAAGTGACAGTCAGATGAAACAAACTGTATTCTACAGACAAAGAGTTCCATTTTCAAATATTATAATTACTTTTTAAATATTGTTTATGTAAGTGGCCAGTTCCGGAAATTTATAGTGCACTAGGGTGCACTAGGGTGTATTTTATGTTACGGAAGTAAGTTAAAATAATAAGGCAATAAAGATAGTAGGTTCACAAAAAAGCGTAGTAGTCTCGTCAGTAGTAATCACGTCTATACCTAAATTAGTTTGAGCGGTTTTACTAAAGCTAATAGGTAACGTCAAGGTCAAACAATACCATTTATTTTCTATATGTATAGTAGTTAAATTTAGATTTTGGTTTCTACAGGCTTAGATCTTCCGGCTTAAAGTGTACTTCAGTGTAGAATTGCTCACATCCTTATGACATTCAGTTTTATCCATCGTATTATAGTAATCACCTACTATGCATTTTCTATATCAAATTTTGATTGTTGGATCAAAAAGATGGTATTGGACTAATAATTGCTTAGAATCAAAAAAAGAAAAAATCTAAAGTATTTATGTCTTTACATGAGACTCTACATTGTTAGTCACTAAGATGATACATTTTTTATATTTCAAATTGAGTTGGAGGTCAACTGCTGTAGTAACAGAACTGCATACAGGGTAACTGAGATATATCGTGACATAATAATGTAATAATGAGACAGACAATCACACCCAAACTATCAGGTTCAAAAAATCACAACAAAATTCAGGGGTATGAGGTAAAATTCAAAGTAAAAAAATAATTTATTCCATAGGTAAAATAAATTTACACTTAAAAATGTCATTTTTTAAGCTACTGCTCATTCACTGCGCTGACTTACTCGAGAAGAACGAGCAAGAAACTCTAGTATAAAGCTAGAAAGGAGAGTAATACAATTTCCTTCAAAGCACTACCCGGAACACCCGGACCAAGAACCAATTTGAATAGTTCATTTCCTAAATTAATCCTACCGGGAATCGAACCTGGGAACTGGTCATTTGGATCACAGAGATTGTGAAACAAATAATAACTCTATCTAGTAACTAGTAACGCAACGTATAACGCTATGCAATGCCGGGGTTAAGAAATTGAAACCGTAAAAGGGTCGTCACAGGACAGGCTTAGCCTGGTGTGGGACCACCTGTAATGACTCACAATGTTTTCAGGCATGGCATCACGTTATCAACGCATGTTTTTGTTAATGTTTAACACACCCTTAATGTAAATTTTGCATAAGTCTCTTGTTCTTTTCTTAAAAATGTAAATATGTTAAGTATTTTGTTTTTCTTTGTGTTTGTGATGCCAAATTAACATATTCTATTCTATTCTATCTTGGTTGCATAAATTCTTTGTTAGAATTAAATACTCTTAATGCAAATTAATATGAAATTGTGATACCGATTGTAAGTCAACGAATATGACATTATTACGATGGAAGGTAGTATTGATCTTTTTATTAAAGTGAATTGTTTTAAAATGAAATGTTAATGTGTATTTTTTTTCCATTTATTAAGCATACCAAAAGTATTTCAAGTATTTTATTCATACGAAACGCTCGAAACACTATCAAATGTGATTTCTAACCATTTTTTTTATATAAACTCAAAAAAATTTTATGCAGACTTTCTCAATAGACAAAATAACACTTGCTACGTGACCAAAGAAGTATCGATTTTTACTAATTCGGCCTACAAACAAAAACAAAAACTGTTCGTTACTAATTATGCCTCTCATAGCTTTAATTCGCAAAGATCTGAGCGACACTGCCACTGCGTCCTTTAACCTGAGAGATAAGTTAATAAGTCCCATGAGCCTGTAATTTCACTAAAATGTTTGTCACTTTTTTATCTGTTCTACTTTTCTTTTTTGTTTATTCTTTCTATTTTGCGGCTTAGGTGTATCAAATGCTTTCTATTCTATTCTTTTCTATTTTCTGTCGGTGAAAGTTTTTGTAGAGTAAACATAGTATCCAATTTTGGCTACGTTGATGGACTGTAAAATTTTAAGTTTCATACGTTTATGTATTCTGTGCTAAGAACCGGCTTTATTTAGATTACATCATTTCTATACTCGTACGAATACGAAACATGTGAAGGTCAGCGAATGTTTTTAACTTTTCAACACTGTGATGTGTTGCCCTAGTATGAAATAACGGGTATGATACTGCTGTTGCTGGTTGTATAATTTTTGTCGCCTCATAGAATTATCACTCATATCAAGGTGTGACTTTTACGTTATATATATTTTAATAAAATCTGTGTTAATATATTAAATCAGTTTTCTCTTTTACTGATAGAGTTGGAGGAACTCTATTAGAACTCACGACTTCGTCGTATCAATGTGGGTGAAAAGTATAATTGCAATTTCTTAAAAAAAAGGAAAGAAAAATACTTGATATATACATCTTCTTCTTCTTGGCGTGTCGACTCTGACGTTTATATTTGTGAGGACCAGTACTTAGCGACTAAGATAGCATTATCAGTAGCGTTGTACAGGTCCTCGCGTGTGCAGGTGGAGGGACACGCAGGGCAGGACAAAAGATGTGCCATTGTCCGGGGAGAGACACCACACGGACATGCGCACTTCGTGCTGTAACCCCACCCGTGCATGCACTCCTTGCTTCGGGGGACTTGGGTCCGCAGCTTATTTAGGGACTTCCAAGTTTGCCAAGGTAGATCATGCCCAGGAGGAAGGTGTTCCGACAGCGGGATGAGCGAAGCCGTGGGGCATCTCGCCTTGCAGAGACTTATTCGGGCCTGTTTTGTTTCCCCGTCCAGAGGGTATACTTCTTTAATGAAGCTGTGGCGACTCTTTAGCCTCTGCATTACCGGCACGTGATGGTGTAATGGGTGCCGCGAGTCAGTCTCCTTTTTTAAGCGTTCCAGGGAGCTAGCCACGTCTCTACGGATGTATACCTTTTAACCGTCTTCAAAAGAGGAGGAGGTTCTCAATTCGACGTATTTATTGTCTGTTTACACGATTATTCCGACATTTGTGAACTGATTTCGATGATTCTTTGTTTGTTGGAAAGCTGTATGTCAGGGACCTATTTACATTTTAAGAAAATATTTTTGATGCTCGTGGAAAATTCGATTTATTGAATTTCACCCTCTTTCCGTTACAGATTTTAATAAAACTTGGCACATAGATGTAATATACAATGAAAATAATATGTTATGGTGACCAACAGCTGACCTGATGATGGAAAATGCAGATAGATGAGAGGAACCCTCAACAGTGTACAGCACCTATCTTGTGTTTGGGCTCATATGATTAGTTTTGACGAGGACTTCCATATCCGTTTTAACTGTCGTTGAAGAGAATGTGGCAACGAACACTGTGAAAGCGGACAGCAAAGTTTTGAAGTCAATTTTTTTATAAAAAAGTTATTATGTATCAGTCTATAATTCGTTGCCTTAATTTTTAGAGGACGGAAAAAAAATAAAGGACCTTAATTACGTCTTGTGTAAATAATCATTTACCCTTATACAATATTGTGTAAATTCATTGCTGTAGCCAAAATTAGGCATTTAAAGAAGGTGCTGTACTGTTGCCTCTTTCATTACTTAATTCGCAATATGTGTCCTACATAAGTAAGATACTATACCGATGCATTACCGCTAAATAAGTAGAAGGCATGCACCAATAGATTTTAGTAGCTCGTCTATAATACAATCGTGGCCGGCGGCAGTCGAATGAAAACAAAAACTGTTCACAAACACAAACCTGCGTGACTGGTCTGTTAAACAGTTGGCAGCGGCGCCCCCGCCGGCCGCGCCCCCATTCGACGCGATGGCGTTGCGCTCACAACTCCTGCGCACAGGTACGTCACTTTAACTTACATTTTCCTTTGTATTTTCTGACCTACAATTTTGGTTAAAAATTCAGTAATAGTAGAGGTTACTATTCAACTGTCAAAATAGCTTGCATTGAATTTTTAAGAAAGGGTATTGTACCTTGATGATTTTTAAATAATGAGTTTTGTTGTGTGCCGGTCTCGCATGACCTTCTTACTTATTAAATAAGGCATAAAGTGACCAATAAGAGCACGTAGAGTTTATTTTAGTTCTATATTTACCTGTAATATGAACGAGTTAACACGATGTGCTCCTATTTTTGTTGCCTCAGTACTCGGGATATATAAATGGAAATATATTATATTCGAGAAATACCACATTGTGAGCGTGTACTATGACTAATTGAATTCGTTAATGTTTTCCAAATTTACTAAATGATGTTAACCGTCCAATCATTATATTTCAAAATAAAATATTTCAGTTACTTTCCTTTTGACTATCAACAGGAGTTGTTATTGATTCTCATTGTTAAGCCAAAACAGTTTAGTTCTTTACTGAAACCGACCTTGAATGAAACAGCTTGGCTATATAATTGTTATTTACATTATGTGAAGATAGATAACTTTAACTGCCTCCATGGCCGAACGGTTACCATGCCGGACTGCCACGTAGAGGTCTCAGGTTCGATTCCCGGGCCGGGAGAAATATTTGTATGGCCTACATTTATTTCTCTCGTGTGTTTGGGTGTAATTTGTGGTTGTCTATGCGTGTGTCCATGGCACCCGTGACGCAGGGCTTCCCTAGTGCGAGGCTATATTGTGTGTGTGCGTTATTATTATTATTATAGATTGCGACAACTTGTGCTATTTGTGTTATTTTCAGTAAACTACGGACATTTACTTGATAATATGTTGTAATTAGTTTTATAATAACGCAGAATTTGTACGCACAAAGAAATAAAACAAAAATAAATTACACTAACTAGCTGCATCAACTAAAGACAATATATACAGTTTTAATACAGTCGGGTCGCATGCAGCCGATTACATGTGCTTCCTGTTTTGTTAAATCTAGGACTGGCAGACTTAAAAGCACATGAATCAAGAACGCTTCATTTTTTATTATATATTCATTGTGGTTGTTGTTTATTATGCCGGAAGATGTGAACAAAAATTGGAAAAAGATTCCCCTACAATTTAAGTTGCAACAAATGAATTTCACTTATGTCCTTTATTTAGTCTATACCTACAGTCATCATTATTATAATAAACGTATCGCCTTATTATTCGATTATTTTTTCGATTAACCGGTACCTTGATTGTAAGTAGGTACATAATATACGAGGAAGTTGAATATACCGCGTTCGTTATTGTTATATCTCAATTTAGCTAACGGGCGACAATATAATACCTGATATATAACCCCGAATATTTGACAAATTTGCTAACTCTATCTTTCTGACTTTTGAGTGTTAGTTTCTGCCACTGAAGACATACCCTTGTGTAAACATACCCAGGCCTATATGTATGTTATAAGGGTTCTAAAATGTATGTTACCGTACCTGGTTATGGTTAATAGACAGGTGACTGATAAGGTTTGTGTTGTGAAAAATTATGAATTTACAGTGTACAATGGAACTCAAATCCGTCAATTCAGCGAGTTGAAGCCCAAAGAACGAGCTGGGATAGCACAGCTCAGAGAGGTTCTAGAAGATAGATTGACTGAGATCAAGAAAGCAAAGACTTGGAAACACGAGAGAGTCATCACTTCTCCGCAGGACAGAAAGGTATATTCTTATGAAGGATAACGTTATTATGGCATATATGAGTATGTTGTACATTTTGTTACTACATATTTTAAGAAAGAAATTAGCTAGGAGTGTATTAATACGTTTTTGAACAAAGTAAAAGAGGAAATATGAAAAATACATAATAGAGCTAATAGTGTTTACTTCCTGTCATATATAGACACTAAAATTATTCTTTCCAGGTTATCGTACAGGGCGCTAAAGGAACCTTCCTAAATTTCTGTGCCAATAACTATTTAGGACTATCTGTAAGTACAGGCAGGTGCAGAGTTCATATTCGGCTAGTATTTATTATGCTCACTTGATTTTCTCATCTCAATTTAATATTATGAATAGTTTGGCATATTTTACATGCAAAGTCGTTTTATACTGTATTATCTACATTAATGCCGATATAAAACAGTCCCGTTTATATTTTGTCAGAATCATCCCGAAGTGGTAGAGGCGGCAAGGGAAACTTTAACCAAGTTTGGAGCCGGATTGAGTTCCGTACGATTTATTTGTGGCACACAATCCCTGCATAAGGTAATTATTTTGAAATAATTTGATATTATAGTTAATTTTTTTTATTAACCATAAGAACTGTAAAAAAAAATTATGAGAACTGATAATAATTTAAACAATTTTTCTTACTAAACCCCTCCCATAACGTAGAACAATAATATATTGTTCCCATACATTTTTTTTACTAGCAGTAGAAAGTCTTTGTGAAAGAGTTCGTCTAAAGAACTACCTAACTACGTACTACCACCTTACCTATTTCTGTCGCCAAGCAGTAATGTGAGCATTACTTCGTTCCGGTTTTTTACAAGTATCGTCAACATACCTAATGTCTCTGGGTGACGGCAGCAGTGGCAGTGCCCCTCAGATCTTTGCGATTTAAAGCTCTGAGTGACGCTGCAACTTTTATGAATAGGCGTACCACCAGGCGTATGATTTGTTGATTCCGTCACTTGGTATAAAAAAGACTCAAGTATTTTGCTGTCATTTGCTTTATTTTGTAGTAAACAATAGCGAGTGCAGTTTGCGAATTTGCAAGAAACCATCTGACGGCTTTATCATTTTATTTTTAACGTTCTGTTATTATTATTATGTATGTAGATCACGTCTTACCCGCCCGTATACACGTACCTACTTAAATACTATTTAGAATCCGAGTACGTTATGATAAAGAAAGGATATATCAGGACAAATTATTGTGCAGTCTTGTATGTAGAGAAAATTTAACATTTTTATTGAGCGTTTTGTATCTATGTTGTTTCTTGTTATATTCATTTGCAAGCACGGAGTTACTTTGATTTCTTTGTTGTATTTCTTGTTGCATTTATTTGAAAATATTTCGTATCTTATTTTAAATATCATAATTATAATCATAATCATGAATACGGAACAAATGAAGTTTAAATAATCGTTTATGATCGCCCCTCCATTAAAATTACCAGGCGAAATACCTATAGCACATAAAATCGAATACTGTCGTAACTCAAAATTGTGGAATTAAGAAAACACTATTTGAACGTTCAAAAAATACTTAATTAATATATAGTACACTCGTTTATAAATGGATAATGTATAAATAAAAATAATTACACTATTGGCAATATTTAAAAATAAAAAGAAATAAATTTATAAAATTTTTTTCTAATAATTTCTCCTCCTTTTTCAGGACTTGGAAAAGAGCATAGCTCAATTTCACGCACGCGAAGATGCGATCCTTTACGGCTCGTGTTTTGATGCCAATGCTGGTCTTTTCGAAGCATTTTTAACACCGCAAGACGGTGTGTTCTCTGATGCCTTAAATCACGCTTCCATCATTGATGGAATTCGATTGTGCAAAGCACAAAAATTCCGATACCCACATCGAGATTTAAATGGTAAGTTTCATTTAACTACTTACATTACATCAAATAACTTAAACTAAATACCAAACCATTAATAACGTGGCAACTATCATAGAAATAGCGTGTTTTTGAAATTTATGTATTTTTTCAATATTGTGTGCAAATAGTATTCGCTACATATTCATAATTTTCTGAAATGTTTATTTCGGTTGGTCTATCGTAACCATAGATTTAGTATTATATATATCTAAGATCGTAACAATCTGTGCTCTGTATCGTTATATGTATAACTATATCATCTGTGCTGATCTTTAAGAGGCCTATGTCTAGTAGTGTACGTCTGTCGCTTGAAATTATCATAGTGATGATCATGACAATATACAATATTTGTTTCGTTCCTTCTCAGGGACGTACGGAAAAAAGCGGTCACGAGGTCATAGATATTAAAAAATGTAGTTCCAAAATAAATTTCGTGCGCATTTGTAAACTTCTCTCATTCTCATTTCTCTTACTGTTTTTGTACGCAGCATTCAAAATTGAGGTCATCACTATTTCTTCTTTTTGAATGTCATAATAATTGTGTTCAGGTACTGGGCTAAATAAAATAAATAAATAGCCCATTTCGATCAATAAGTTGCAGCGTTTAGATGAGGGAAAAAAAATGTAATTGGTTTATTTACTTGGTTTATATAATTTATTGTGTCTCTGCACGTAAACTTATATTTATAATAATGCGATTGCGACTTGGTGATTTCGTCGAATAGGCGGCAATTGACTCGATGTAAACAGCGAATCGCCTGCGCTGCCTTCGTTAGCCGAATTCGCTTGCCGAAGGGGTGGCAGTCGACTCGGTGTAAATAGTGAGTCGACTGCGTTTCCTTCGGACAAGCGAAGTCGTCTACCGAAGGCGGTAGTCGACCTGGTGTAAACATGCCATAATACGTACGGCAAAGAAGTGTAAATCACTGCCGCATCTGTGTTTTCCGAAGGCTTGAATTTGAGTTAATCAAGGCTAGAGTGAATAGTCCTTTATTAGAACCAGACAAACGCGTAATAATGTCGACCATATCCTTGTTTAATATCAGGTGAAATTGTTACCAAGCATTTGTCTGTTTATTTTATTATAGTTTATTTGGAAAATAATAATAGTAATAGTAATAAAAGCCTGGTTGAAAAATAACTTGCAAAATTTTTTTAATCACCAGAATTAGAGCATCTCTTGGCTCACAGTCAAACACGAATCAAATTGATAGTGACCGATGGAGTATTCTCTATGGACGGTAACGTCGCGCCTATCAAAGGATTGAGAGATTTAGCTGACAAGTATAGAGCGTTACTGTGTGTGGATGATAGTCATGCTACTGGATTCTTTGGAGAAACTGGCAGGTAGGTTGTTTTTATTTCATATATGTTATGGACGCCTAGTATCCCATATTTATAATGAAAAGGTCTATCAAAGCAATTAATTCAAAATATTATGATTGCTATTACCTGTATCTTTACATTAAAATTATTTTTGAGCAACTATAACCGATATTTCTGTTTACAATTTTTCTTTTCTGCATAATTAGGTAAATAATAAAAGCGGTAGATATATTATCAGCTCAAAAACTTGTGATCACCTCTCGATGCTTATTATGTATATATATAATAAAATGAAACTGAATCTTATTATAATTAATGCAGGGCCCTTCTTCGGACTGCATAATATGAACAAAGGCACCGTGATACGAGTTAGGATTTCTGTTATAGAAAGTTAGACAATCCAACAACAGTTATTTTTGCATCCTTCTAACTACTTATTGAAGTAAAACGATAATTTGCTCTATCTTATATTACGTTGCATATATATATAGAAATACCGCAATTAGCTATTTCTATGTATTCTGGTCAAGGTGTACTAAAGGTTATTTTCCTCGTTCAACGGCATACCTTCCTTGAGACTTAATCAAAGATCTTTTAACCTTAAAAGATATTTATGTTAATAGTTTAAGAAAATTGAGAAAGGTTAAAATAATTATGAATTACATAATAAGTATAATTTTTAATTTAACGAAAGTATTTTTTAAACTTATAACCTATTTTATAGATTTCACGACAATTTATTAGAAAAATCTTAATTTATGTCGAATTCTGGATTAACGATACAATATTACACATATTTTTTTATGATGTCGTGTGGATATGTTAAAGGTAGGTATGTCTACCACTTTCACTGAACCTAATTTGAATGAAATATTCTACGAGTGGGTTCAGGTGCCTACCGTACAGAAATACCTTAGCAAATTGGGATAAGATTTCATAATGAACATGATGAAATTACAAACGAAATGCTGGTGAAATTACAGACACATGGGACTTGTCAATTTATGTCTCAGGGTGACAAACGCAGCGGCAGTGCCCTTCAGATCTTGGCGATTTAAAGCTGTGAGTGGCACTGCAACTGTTATGGACAGGCGTGTAGCTTACCATCACAGGCGCACGACTTGTTCGCTCCGTCACTTGATTATAAAAAAAAACATAAAACATAATAGACCTCACTTCTTAGCTCTGCGCAAAATTCTGTCAATAGCCAATTAATATTGTCTTCAGAGGTACAGAAGAATACTGCGGTTTACCAGATGCAGCTGACATCATCTGTTCGACTTTGGGCAAAGCTGTAAGCGGCTCCTCAGGCGGCTACACTACAGGGCCTAAGGAGCTTATTACTTTACTTAGAAATGTATCCCGGCCTTATTTGTTTTCAAACGCACCGCCACCACCTGTAGTTGGAGCCGCTTCGAAGGTAATTTAATAACTACGGATTTTCATGCGAAATCGCAAAGATTACTTGGCTTAACTTTTAGGGTACACTAGGCTTGGATTAAGCAAACTACGCAGTATTCCTTACCAATTTACAATCGTCTCCACTATTGATACAATTACATAAATTAACGTTAACTTTTGTTTTGCTATGTGCTTCCATTCTTCACATATTTTACGCCCTTTTCCCATCGGGGTAGACAAATACAACAAACCAATTTCAAACTAGCTTGTTAAAACAGTTAAAGGTAAAACAAACAAAAAGAGGTAATATGAATATGAAAACTCAAACTCTTTCTTCAGGCACTGGAGCTAGTAGAACGAAGTGGTGAACTTCGTCAACGGCTCAGAGATAACACAAGACAGTTCCGAGAGGGATTGAAGGCAGTAGGGCTGACAGTCGCCGGCGATGACCACCCCATTTGCCCAGTCATGGTTGGTGAGGCTTCTCTTGCAGTGGAACTTGCAACTGGCATGCTAGGTGAGACAACTGCACCCAGTTTTTGATTAGTTTCTAACTGCTGACTACACATCTCCCGGATTTATGAATACCTCTTTCGAAACCTTACCGCAATCTGAAAATGCAGTAGCGTTTACAGCGATCACCAACTCACCTGTAAAAGGAATATATTGTAAATTACTTTTTATCAGAGAAACGTCATATGAGTCAAGAATTGTTAATAAACTGACGTTGTAGCAAGACATCTCTGTAGCTACCACAGTCCAAGCTGTACATATGTAGCTAACGTTACATTCACGTTGTGCTCGCCGCGACAGTCGTTTTGTCCATGGGCCGCGTGTCTTTATATTAGCGAGATAGCAAGACATCTGTCTCGCTCTTGCAGCAATGGAGGCCCTCTGATTGGTTGACTGTATATTCAACACTTTTGGTATACCATTCAGCGATTAAGATAAATATAGCGACATTTGCCAATAAATTCATTCTAGTTCCAACTTTCAACATCAGCGTTTCACTGAAAAGTACCTAAACTAAAATTAAACTGAATTCCCTAGTTGTTGCCTGAAAGGCTGTACTTAAATTGAGAGTTAGAGTAATAGAAATTTACTTGTTCCAGCACACGGAATTTACGTGGTAGCATTCAGTTACCCGGTGGTGCCTAAAGGAGCAGCGAGGGTTCGCGTTCAGCTGAGTGCGGCGCACACGCCGGAAGATATCAAAACGGCCGTGGAAGCCTTTACTCAAGTCGGCAAGAAAATTGGCCTTGTAAAAGCATAGGTTTTGTTTATAAGCACATGTTTTACGTGCATATTGCCACATACTAAGGTACGTACCTATACAAACTGTCATCTAGGTACGTATAATATCGTTACCCAAAAATACGCCGTAGCGTGAATATAGTGCGCTCACTCTTAGGTTCAATTTATATCGCGGCGGAACGGAATGGAAGCGAATTTTTGTAAGGATATTATATATATTGTCCATAGCATAATAAACTTTATAGTCAATTATGTAATGTACATAAATCAGTAAGGAGTATTAAAAAAACCGACCTCAAAAGTTCGTGGAATTACATCTATTTGCAAAGTTTTATTGAAATCGGTTACCGGAAAGTTTGCAAACCGGGTTCATCCCCTAGTCCGCCGCTATACGGGATTTAACATATGAGGTAATAAATATGGGTGCTCAGTGCTTAAAGTAAATTTCAAGAAAAACTTAAATTGGAGCATAGCAAAATCAACCATTATAATAATTGCTCCTTATAATAAAATATTTTTTTTTAAATGCTATATATACAAGGCGCTATTTGTAAAAATGAGTGTTCATGCGTGAACAGCCACTCTTAAAGGTAATAATAATAATAACGCACACACTCATCATAGCCCCGCACTAGGGAAACCCTGTGTCGCGGGTGCCATGGACACATACATAGACAAACACAAATTACACCCAAACTCACGAGAGAAATAAATGTAGGCCATACAAATATTTCTCCCGGCCCGGGAATCGAACCTAGGTGGAATATTTTCTTCGAAATTATATGGGACCACTACGGACGTACCCATGTCGTTACAAAAATTCGCTTCCATTCTGGTCCGCCGTAATATAACGTGAGCTTTAATGTAATTTGGTAGTTCTAAAAATAAATTTCTGCACCAGTGAAACAAATGGAGATATTTATACTGTTAACTCGCTAATCTCCTTCCTTGATGAATAAAGACAATTCGTAAATTTACATAGGAATGTAAAAGGTCTCCTTACTTAAAAATTGATCCAGCTAAGACAGAGAGTTATACAGACTTAAGTTTAACGCATTGCAAAATTACATATTGTTTTGTCAAAAGTTCTGAAGATTAAAAATGTAAATATGACCGTATCGTTATCATTAGGTAACTATATCTCAGAAATGTTATGACGATTGTTGCTTCTAATTATTTTTTCGTTATTATATTTTTTATGTCCAATACCTATATATTCTGGTCAAAATGACTGAAGAAATAAAATTGATGTATAACAAAATGATGTTTCATTAATTTAATGGAGGTCACTGCCATGTTTTCATAAAAATAGTTTGCACATTTGGATTGAAACCTTTTGATTTCTTTTTTTAACCGACTTCAAAAAAAGGAAGACGTTCTCAATTCGTCTACTTTTTTTGTATGTATGTTACACGATAACTCCGCCATTTGTGAAGCAATTTTGATGATTCTTTTTTGTTGGATCAAATGTACCTCCAAAGGTACCTCAAATGTGGTCCCATTTAAATTTCAAAAAAAAATATTCCACCTCTAAGTGTGGTAATAGGGGATGACCGGTTTGTTTAACCGGAGGTTAGGTTGGGTTATTTAATGAAATTTGATCGTAGGGCTTCATTATTTTTTACTATAGTAAGTGACGGGAACAAGTCCTGTGCCTAATGGTGACACGCTCTTAAAAGTTGCAGTGCTATTCAGAGCTTTAAAATAAAAATAATCTGAGGGGCACTGCTGTTGCACCCGTTTGTTGTGTGCAAGTTGACAAGTTCCATGTGCATGTAGTTTTACACAGTATATTTACCTCTCAAAACTAGAACGCTGTCATACTCATATTAATGCACAGCTCCGATAATCTACTACTACTAGCATTTACCAATAGCAATTACAGTACCCTACCACTATCAATTCCACACCACTTTATAAAAATCACTGTAATATTGTGTAAGTCAATGACTGTAATTAAAGGCCTCAAATGGCAGCGCTAGTATCGTTTATAGACAACAATGTTCGTGTCTGTCTATACAAGAAATAAGTTCTTTTAAATTTTGTTCTATGTAGTAAGAGTTATACTTTCATTTGTCACCATTAAATTGCTTTTCCACCGACGAGATGAGAAATGCCATTAATAACCATCGCGAGTTGACATTAACAGCCATTGAGAGGTGGGGTTGTCGATAGTAAATAAAAATATTAAAAAATACCTATAAAGCACTTGGTTGATAAATTTAAAAATTCGACTACAGGGAACTCTACAATTATTTACAGAAAAGCCACATTTTTTATATCTTAAATCGTACGTACCTCACAATCTTACGATTGATCACTCGGGCCAGTGCGAGGCAGAGTTCAATTAACTATTCGTAGGCAGCAATACTGTTCAATATTACACCAATAAATATTATGATTCTCGTCTCGCCCATCCAGATAATTTTTAGCGAAGATGCGTTAGGACAGAATTGATTGCCATACAAATTTCAATCCTCGTCTTGCACCGCCGGTGGAAAAGCACCTTTATTTTTTGAATGTATGTAATTGAGTAACATTTTGTGTCTGTTGATGACGTAAATAATCAATAAAATAATTTTTTGTTCTTCTTATACAGTTAGTTTAAAATGAAACAAGACATAGTGTAATAATTGATCTATTAACAATAATTTATTACAGTAATAAAACACACTCTCCATACAATATTGTAACACTCGGTGCGACCACGTTGTAGTGTACCAAAATTACTGACCGTAGAAAATATAAACAAATAAAAATGCATAATTCAATCATAAAAAATATAGGACAGAAGAATAGCAGAAAAAATAGATTCAAGTACATTGGGCCACACGATAAGTGTGTCAGTAATCAATCAAAATTGTATAATCAATCGCACAAATGTTCCAAATAAAATACATATTTAGTATGGACGGTGTTGATGCGTGCTATTTGGTGGAGTGTAACCCTACATGAGCACTTTGTTAATGCACCCCGTTAGAAAGTTGGCAGGACTTTGTTCAACATACAAATTATGCGATTTCTATAATGTGCTTCAATATGTGGTTAATTGTACAAGGTTTTATAAATGTGTAAAAGTTGACAGATCTCTGCAAAACGAAAACATAAAAAGCTTCAAGAACTTACTACAGCCAGTAATTGTGACATACATTAATTATTCCTCCCTCATTATATATCATTAAAAAGTTATAATTAATCTATAATTAAATATTTACATTGGTATCGAGTTCTCACTCGGCATTTTTTATTGCAACCTTAGGGTTACGCCACATATGTCAGTACGATTATGCCGCGTTCATACTAACGGCGCCTTCAAATTAGACGTCTATAGTGCGGCAACCGCGCCATTACTAATTTTCATGCAATATCTAGTCTGCAAAAATGGCGCTACTGCAGCACTCTTACAACATAGATGATGAAGGCGCCCTAATGACAAAATTTTTGTATTAGAAGACATTTACATCGTCGGGTGGTGTTATCAGAATGTCATTCCATATTAGAACATGCCATTCGTATGACACGCCGTTGAACAATGCTGCTAAATAAGTGATCCTTTCACGTTTGATATTGGTCAATTAGTAAAACTTCATGACGCCGGTTTTTATATTGTCTATGCCGTCACTTTGGACGTAGATATAAATCTTTCTAACATAATGTCCAAGACATATTTGTGCCTAATGAATGAAATAGATAGTAAACATAAATATAATATCATGATTCACAAAATGAATATCGAAGATTTCTTTAAAGTTGTGACGAAAAAATAAATGCAGACTTGTCGATTGCTCGATTGCATCTTATTAATATTTTTTATTGCACCAAATAAATACAACAGAAACTTTAATTTAACAGACGGTGAGCAAAGGTGGACTTATCTCTAAAATAAATCTCTTCCACACATCGCAGGGCAGTGAAAGCTAAGATTATAAGCGGGCAACAACGTGCAAGAGAGAATGAAAGAGAATACAATAAACTACATAAATGAAAATAAAATGCCGTTACATAAGTATTACAATTAACCGTAATAAATAGCATACAATATCTATATGTAAAAAAAACAATAAGATGATTACGAAGAAAGTTCAGCAAGAAAGCGCGCTGTCAACCTTTTCTTGAAAGAAGCGATCGATCGGTTACGGAACGGGCTAGACTGGATATGGGAAGGGAGTCTGTTCCACAAATGAAATCTGAAAAAGTTCAGTATTTTAAACGAACTCGCATAGAGAAATCTAATGCCAGACTAGGACGTGTTAAAATTTAAAAAGTACCAGTCCAAATTTAATGTTCCAAATTTAAATTTGAAAAGTGGAACACTTAGTGGAATTTTGAAAGGGTATTAAATTGTGTCCAATAATATTCAATTATTTTTGTGAAATTTCTCCACTAGTTTATGTGTTGTTAACCAGAAATAGAGCGAAATAAAGGCCATTCATCCCTAGCAACTCATCAGGCAAATGGGCTTATATCACTTTTAAATATCTGCTGAAATCACAACTTAAAAGCTGAAATAGTAAAGCGCCAACAACTGACATAGGTGTATGTCTCCGTATATTCCAAAAATATTCTGTATTTATTGTAATAAAGATAATATCTCTAACAATTGGGGGCTGTTTCATTAGGTGGCGTGAGAAAAACAGCAAAACATCAATTACAAAACAAACGGAATCACATGAACTCATCCGAAGAACAGAGTCCGATGTGATTACATGGCGAAAAAAGAATAAATATATAATTTCGTTATTCAAACTAAGGCCTATGTAACGGTGTTTTGGGAATGTATATATCTAATTTCGTTTCGGAAATATAAAATCGAACAATGGTCGGTCTGACATCCATAGCGACGAAGAACGAACGAAATGTACAATGTCCTAAGAACAAGTAGTATTACACGTAGATCTTTGTTCTACGAATGAGTCGACATTTCATCGGTAATTAAATATTAAATATGTAACCTTTTCAATTTTTGTCCATTATAACAAAGCTCAAGTTAAACTGGTCAATTTGAAGTGAAACAATTGACGACATCCGTCAATTGTTTCGAATTTGGGCTGGCCAAACGGAGCGCAGTTGTCACCGTAATAATTTGGCAAAATAGTTTTCAAACAATTTAAATGACATTTCGTGTCTATTTCTGGTTATATACTCGATGTATTATTGGATTAATACAAAGACCGAACACTTAGAAAAAAATCCTTCTTCAAGCAAACCGTGCCAGACATCAGTCATCTTTGTTTTTGAGTTATAAGTTATAATCTTTCAAAATAATAGTGTCATTATCAAAGCAAAGGTTGAGACAATGTGTTACTTAGTGAGTCATTAATTTAATGGATGTTTGTGAAATTCAGTGATAGTCGGACAAAAGTTTGTCCTCTGTTAAGAGTTTTATTTCTGCTTATTTGCCGAACCTGCAGATGTTCAGTTGTTATTATTTATAATATGATAAAGAAAATTGAGCAGTTTAGTATTTTCTAATAATCTCTGTATAATCTTAAAGCGAAATAAATATACCTGAAATATACACATCAATATGGTGTAAGACATATAAAAACATACCAATGCATCGACCAGAATCTCACACAAAAAATAACATTAAGCATTTATCTTGTATTTAGGTACTTAAGAATTTTCAATGAGATTTCGGTCGACTTTTTTAATTTTTAAGGTCATTATCTCTGCTGCCGTTAGTTGAAAGTGCGCATGTGACATTTAAAAAAAAATCCATGTATACTGCCGTAATCAGTAAAAAAAAGGCTGATCTGTCACTATTTTTATTTTTTCCTAGGTGGATAAGGTATAAAGTTATCGCAAGAGAAACGTCGGCTTTTTACATTTCATTTCAACATTATTTTATCGGTTTTAAGTTTTTATCACCGCCGTGAAAGGGCGGCAGAACTTATGATCGATGTGCATTTGCCAATGCGAAAACGAATACGGCATGAACTCTCTTCCAAATATGGCATGACGATCTCAAAGATCGCTTTTTCACTGAACAACATTACGTACAAATACATCGCACTACCCTTAAATAAGTTGGAGGGCTCCGTCTGCTAGTTACAAAAAAACGCGTTTGTATAAGAGGTCCTTGTTTGTTAGTAGTACGATAAATTTTACTGGTGGCAGTTTTAAACTTTGTCTGGAACAATCGGGAGAGCGAAAGTGACAAGACTGTAAGGAGATCTATAGAGGTACTCGTCTATTCCAGTAGGGGAAAAAACACACAGCGAATTAAAATTTAAAACCAAAAGAGGCTATGCTTCGTTGTTTGTTCTATCTTGTTACAAAACTAACAAATTGCAAGTTACTAATTTACAGAAATAACAGAAACTACAATGTAACTGCGTTAGTTTTGCGCACAGGACCAATATAGCTCAGGTGAACTACAAACTTACCGTATTTACGGAACTAAGTCTCGTTACCATGGAGTATTTGTAATGGACTAATAATTAGCCTAATAAACAGACTATTTTTGCACCACGAGCTCCGTCACCAGTAAAATATCGCTGACTAATCAAAACTGGACCGTATATTTGTCTTGTGGACGTGTCGTGAGATCATGTGAGCAATCCAGTCAACCTCGCGAGCGCAAGAATGATTTGTTCCCTCATTGCAGTACGTTCGGCTTTGCGGGCGGTCCTGGAATAAGACAAAAACTTTTTAACATTCTTTTGAAATAACTTGCTGCTATTTTGTGAGTATGATAAATGTTGTGTGTAATGTAGCTGTCAACAGTATGTTTAAATGAGATAGCTATTGCGTTTCGTTGTGGTCTTATAGCTGCACCGGTTACGTATCCTCATATAAACACGTTTTTAGTATGAGCGGAGGAGTAATGAAGTTTGCAATGTGGACTTAGGACGGTTGGGTTTGACAACAAGTTTTACTAAATCTTTCTATCTCTTTATTTCTTTCCATTTAATTATTTATTTCAAGTTTTTAGCATCGCCAACAAGTAGTGCCGCGAAGATTATTTTATACATGTTTGGTTAGGCAGTGTTTTCATTTATCTATTTGAATTTTATTAAGCGTTTTTTAATGTTTTATTTCTGTAATACGGCTGAGTTTCCTGAGGCTCCTTGTGAAAGATTTGTCCAGAGAAGTACTGCCACCTTACCTATTTCTGCCGTTCTGAGTGAGCATTAGTATTTTAAACGTAAACAAATAGCCCAGCGGGCAGCGATGTACCGGCTGTCGAATAGCGTCCCCTCTCCTCCCGTGCGTCTGTCCGCGCATCTTTCGTCGCAACTTGACTGGGCGCGATCGAGTTGTGTATTGCATAATTTTATTTGTTACGTAAACACTATAAACGCAAACACTAGGTATATTTAAATTTTTTGTACCGTATTTATGTACTTTTACTATCTTTAATATAACATACAGCAGTAACACAATATACAAAGAACACATACACAAATATTTAAGTAGTTTATTTTACGTCCTTTCGCGACACACACGTCCGTCACTCATCTCGGCTCAGGGCTCATTGAAAACCAGCGCTGCAGTTGACTGCAGCACTGGTCATTCAGCATAAGCCACAGCTATAATTGATTATGGCTGTGGCTTATGCTCAATGAAGTCCTTTTGCGTACGTCACAACCACACAAATGACAGTACAATTTTTTTTGTTTTTTGTCAGATTTGCCTTATTTAATGTTGTTTTTTTTATTGTATTTTTTTTTATTTAGTTTATTAATTAATTATTATTTCTTTAATTTTGTTTTCCTTGTTTGTGTTATCATTTTTTTTGTACCTGTGTTGTGGCGTAGCAATAAATGTCTATTCTATTCTATTGATTACTGTGTGCCGGTTTGAAGGGTAAGAAGGCTCCTGGTGAAATTACATGGGACTTGTCAACTTATGTCTCAAGGTGACAGTGCCCTTAAGATCTTTGCGATTTAAAGCTCTTAGTGGCACTGCAACTGTTTTATGGACTGGCGTGTCGTTTATCACCAGATGTACGACTTGTTCGTTCCGTCACCTGGTATTATAAAAAAAACTAGAGAAAACCCTGTGTCGCGAGTGCCATTGACACACACATATAGACAATCACAAATTACACCCACACTCACGAGAGAAATAAATGTAAGCCATACAAATATTTCTCCCGGTCCGGGAATCGAATCCGAGACCTCGCGTGGTAGACCAGCATAGCAAGCGTTCGGCCACAGAGGCAGTTAAAATATACAGAGGATCACCCACAATGCCACACGCAAGCTGTCAACGCTGACACGCGGCGTAGACGTAGATTGTGACCATGAACCTGCGCCATTAAAGTTTAATATTTAATCACGGTTTATACCTTCCGTCTCCAATAAATTACGATTTACACCTTCCGTATTCAAAGATTGACATTGTACAATGTATAGAGCAATCATCGGCAATTATAATTTATTATTGCAAAATCGGACCATTCTAACACAGTATAATAAGACAAGTAGTGTAACTCCATACAAACGTAGCACAGAGCGTACTATTCCTATATGTATGCAGTTAATAAATAACGCATACAATGTCACGATTACATTATTATTTTCTTCGTAAAAGATTTCATTTCTATTTGATGAAACTCCCATAACCGAGATATTAATCCGCGATCCTGGTATGAAAATATCAATAAGTACCTACTGCATTTAATAAAGTTAAAACGTAGCATGAGAGTACTGTGATGAATACCTTAATTTTTTTTCAAATAACACCCAAATTTTCGAGAGACGCGACGTGTAGGCATAGACTTGCCGAATTCCTATAATACTATTACAATACTTGGCTTTTTATACTCTGGTGCAAAAATCCGACTTTACGACAACTTAAATCGTATAGTATATAGAAATATTTAAACTTCATCCTATACTTAAAACCCAAATAATTTGCTTTTGTTAAGAGTCGATACTAGCTCACCTCGAATTAAAAATTTTCCCGTACTAATGCGGTTCATTTTGCTTATGTCGAGTGGCAGGGACACAGGCTTTATTCCATAATTAATATTTTACAAACGGAATTACAGACATTTAAAAAAAATTATATCGTATACTGTACGTATTCTATTTAGTTCAGTTGATATAAAAAAAAATTGGTATAATGTAAAGTACCTATTGAATACAGCGGTTTTCTTGTAAAATTTCGAGTTAAGTTTGTGTTATTTTCCTTTCGTGAAAATTTTTTGGAATCGTGTTTTCACACCGCATAGTAATGAGGGTATATTATCCTTAAATTTAACATATATTTTTTCCAAAGTGATTGGTTCAACACTTGCACTGGTATGCGGAACCAACCAAAGCCATTTGAGGTTATATACAAGTGCAAATGTTAGTGCACTTAGTAAAATTGTGCAAATGTTCCAATTGAGTAAATCGTAATAATCATCGGAAAGTGACAACAACGCTATGGTTTAGTTACGATTATATCGGGTCGGACATGGTCGCAAGGTATAGATTGCATTGCGAACAAACATCACTAATCATAAATAATTGTATAACTTTACAAACGATACTTTGTAATTCTCGTAACAAACGCTTATAAACATTACTACCTCTATACTTCCGGAACCTTGAACGTTCGACATCGTTATTAATTGCTGTGTTATTAAAGTATAACCACTATTAGTACCGTGGAAAAAGGCGTAGCTCATATTAATGTATTAGTTGGACACACGGTCACTAATTTCAATGTTACGGGCGTATTTTTCACATTAATAACGGACACACACATAGCCCCGCACTAGGGAAACTCTTTGGAAAATGGCTACTTCTTTATTTTTATTTAATACATTTGACAAAGGTTAAATACATGCAGCTGTAGATTAACAACCACTGAGGGTTTATTCGTCTGCGGCGATTCGCTCTAACAAGGATTTTCCGATTTTGTATTTATATTACCTTTCCACATCTGAATTTTGAACACGAATTCATTAAATAATTCAGTTTTCAGTAATTAGCAAAAACCAGCACGCATTAGCGCGCGCTTGTCGGTTTTCCAACGGACACCAAAGGGGTCAGAAAAAGGTCAAACAGGCAAATACGTAAATAAACAGTCCACCCAACGACCATATTCATTATTTCAAACGTGCGCGCGCTGTGGACCTTAACGCAAAGTATTAGTGTTAGTTATTTGGCTACATGTGTAGACGATCATATATGCCAGTATCTGCACGTTTACCTGTACGTCAAATGTTGTTTCAAGTACTATAAATACCTAATAGCGAAATCAAACAGCCATGTTAAGTGCCACTTTAATACGGCCATCACGTTTGATAATAATAATTGTTGGTGCTTAAAAATAAATTTAAGTTTATAATTTAAAGCTATAGGATTAAGTTTCAATTTCCTACAGCATTCTTAACAAAAATTCATTGTTAATAAAACATCCCAATTCAACAACAAGCCTAGTATCAGCGGGTGTAATGAGTTAACTTCTTTACTCGTATAGTCACAAGTTAGTTAATAGTTACTAAGTAACAAATACATCACTCTCATACAAAGTCGAAAATTACCTACGCTATAGCAGCCTACTAAATCTGAGCAATGACATCAGGCGCCTCACTACGAGGAAAAAGGAACCTTAAGCACGCGCTCACATAGGTGAAAATAACGTTGCCCGCCGTGTGCAGTCGTGCGAAGCCGAATGCTCATAAATGAAAGATTTGTACCAGAGCTTGCGCCGACGTCGACGCACTTATCGCATAACCTTGAGCGAGTGACGGAGCCCTGGTATAGTACACCCAATTCCCTCATTATAAACGTCTTTTATGATATTCAAACGACAAACAGTCAGACTCAGGCCTGATTGAAACTGGTTATTTCCGCCTATCTAGCGTTTGCGATATAAGGAAGAACATTATCTTAAAATAGCAAATGCGTTCGTGGCAGTGAGACATAACATTTTTAATCGATTGTGATTGCGCTGTCTCGTCCTATCTTTTAATCCGCAACACAGCACGAACGCTATATAAATAGGTCATATTCAAAGACAAGAGGGGTACTACAAAAGTAGTTCTGCAAAAAACATTACCGTACTACCACTGAGTGAGACTAAGCAACAATTTTTTTTTTGTTGATACTAAATGACGGGATGAACTATTATAGTCGTTGTCTGGTTGCAAGCGACACGCCTGTCCATAATAATTGCAATGCTACTCTGAGCCTTAAATCGCAAAGGTTTAAGGGACACTGCCACTGCGCCCGTCCCCTTAAACGTAAGGTGACAAGTCCCTTGTGCCTGTAATTTCACCAGGACCCTTATTAAAAATCGGAACACAGTAATGGTCACATTACTGCTTAGCGGTAGAAATAGGTAAGGTGGCAGTACTTCCCTGGACAAACTCTTACACAAGGAGCTACTGCTGCTAAATCTACAGTGTACCTTGTGGGTGCGGTTCGTGAGATATAACAGTATATGACATATTTTTGGCCGATATAACGCTCAACGGATATAATTAATTTATGATACACAGACATTTGACAGACTCTTGCATGAAATAAAGGTCATTGGGTATAATGGACGATTGATATAACAACTTTCAATCAAATATACCGGCGGCAGTACTTCCCTGGACGAATTTTTTCACAGAGAGCTCTCCTGCTACTTAGAACTGTTCTAATAGCCAGGCACATTACAGCAGAACACGTGTGTTATATTACATAAGCAGTAATGGCTTGGTTAAGAGAACGCGGCAAGCGTCCTTGCCCTGTAGGAGGACTAATATCGAATTGCCGCACGAGCCAACGCCATTGAGTATATTTAATTTATATGTACAGTTTCCACTTCATTTACTTTAACGATAAAGGTAAAAATCGTGAGAGAACCCGTACGACGAAAAAAATGAGAATACTATGAAATAATGTGAAGTCTTCTTGTATTGAACTAGCTAGGAAAATAAAGCCCCGCAGTAGATTGCATCTTACGATGTAATAATACTTACCCGGAGGAGGTGGGGGAGGAGTGGTGGTGGTCGATGACGTGGTTGACGACGAGGTGTTACTGGGAGTGGTGACCGTCGTGGTAGATGGGGCCGGTGTGGTTTCCGGCTTCTGTAATAATACACAATATTATGTCACATAATATCTCCAGCATTAAATAATAACCTGCGATTTTACTAGCGTTTAAAATGAGAAGTGTTAGTGGTAGCTAAAAACTTAAAAATAGTTAACAAAACAAAAACAAATAAACTATCGCGTAACATACATACAAAAAGACTACAATCGAATTGAGCTCCTCCTTTTTTCAAAGTGTATTAGAAATTACACAACATAAACATTAAATTGTTATAAATAACAAACTACCTTAATAAAATAAATAAGTGTTGATAAAATATAATGAACTTAAATAGTAACTGAGGCTATTAGCGCAAAAGTGGACAACCACATTAAATGCATATAGCAGATAAAAAAAAGGGATTTAAAATTAGCCAAATTCTTTTATATATAGTTATCCGTACGACCAATATAATTTAATTTGTTGATATATACTTTTGTTACTTACTAATGTAGGAACTAATTTAAGGATATCATATATCATGTAACAAATACATTATGTATCATACGTGTTTGATATTACACTTAGTACTTATTTAGTTATTGTATTACAATCACTTACCATTACTTCAACTCTGGTCCTCAACGTTTCTAGCTTAGTATCGAGAGTGTTATTCACAGCTTGAACTTGCAGTTCGATCTCGTTCTCTCTCTTCGTATTAGCTAATACACTGGCAATAGTCTCGTTGGTACGAGCCTCTAGTTGTTGAAGTAAAGTCTTTACTTCTTCTAAGCCGGATGTGGCTGTTGCTGCTTGTTTTCGAGCTGTCGCTATTGCACTGTCGAAACCTCTCATCTGCAAAGAATAATTATAATATAGATAAGGGTTTAAAATACACACACTGGAAAATTTTGCGGAACGCTAGTAAAACTTTCCAAAATAATGGAGTGTTATTTAAAATGCCGTTTGTTTTACTTTTTTATTTTAGGTCTAATATGAAAATAAAAAATTAGACGATTGTACCTTTTTCATTCGTTTGTTTTAATTTCCTACAAATATAGGTTTGTCAAGTGGTTCGAAGTTACTTTTGATAATAATCTTCAATAATCTTTATTTATCTTCAAACATGGTTTCTTAAACTATAGTGGTTGGCGCCTCCTTTTAAGAATAGTCTGTATCGGGAGGTGACGCTCTTAGCTGCACGTTTACAAATAAATTAACAACCAGACAAAAAGTAAAAAAATATATATAAAAAAAACAGAAATACTACTACTTCCTTACTTTTGTATTCTCGCAAATTTCGTAATTATAATATAATTTTAGTTGAAAGTGTTTTTATTTATTATTAACTTTGATTTAATCTACGCTACATTGTTATAATTTTTAAATTTTCTGCCGTTTTTGATAGTAATAAAATCTAAAAAAAAACATGTATTCACAACTCAACCGCACAAATCACACTCAAACTCACAAGAGTAACAAATGTAGGCCATACAAATATTTCTCCCGGCTCGGGAACCGAACCTGGGACCTTTGCGTGGTAGTCCGGCATGGTAACCGATCTAATTATTATTTATTTATTTATTCGCAGTTGTTTATGTTACGGAGTGTGTAGTACACAAATACTGAAAGCTGGAGAAGCAACTATTTTGAATACTAGGGATGTTATTAATAATAAATTGAATAGTTAAGTTAAGCCAATTTCTTGAATTTTAACCTGTCAGCCAAGTTGCCCTACTTCGTAATAGATCCTAGTGAAATTAACTAAAGAAACTTAATTAATAGTTAACGAGGAAGCAAGTAATTACAAATGAATACAACAACGAAATTCACATTCTGAATCAATAAAATTGTCGTAGTTTAGTGTGGCAATTTTTAGGTTATTTATAGTATTAATATATTTCATAGGAAATTAAACTATTTTTTTCGGATCTAAGCCGCGTATGTTTGTTTTTTGGTACCGGTTGTCTCAGTCAATTCTGTAATGGGTCCGAAACGATGGTTTGTTTGAAAAAAAAATTAGATCCGAAAAGTTTCATTTTTGTTAGTTTGAACCCCATGGAAGGTGTACAATACGATATACTATAATTTGGTAATGATACTTCCATATATTAATGATGGCCAAAGCAGCAACGTGTATGATGACGTGTACTATGCCAAAATAACCTGTTTTCCACGATAAAAAAACTTGTAAAATTACCATTACCAAACAATAGACAAACGCCCACAAACATATAGCCAGAAATTAACAATTGTACCCCATATATACAGTTTATTGTGTTTTTTTGGATACAACTCTAGATGCCAAATCGCATTGGGGTCCACAAATAACTCAGTTGCCGAAACGACTCAGCTTTGTCTGCATTTTACGAAAACATGGAGACAGCGAAACCTCTGTATATTTTAGCTATTTCCTCAGTTTCATGATATGCAATTTGATTTTGGCAGATACCGCGAGCATCAATAGAAAATTTTGTTTTACACATGCACGCTTTACAAATTGGGCCCTAAGAGGGTCTGAGGGTCGTGTTCCACAACTGTACTCAATGCTCAAGTCAGGACTTGAGTATTGCAGTGAGCACTGAAAATCATACTCAAGTCCTTGCCATTAGGGTCGTATTTCCAGTGCTTGAAATCATACTCAAATCTGCTCAAATCCCGACTTGAACATTGAGTACAGTTCTGGAATACGACCCTGAGAGATAAACATAAAATATTGCATTCTTATACTGATAGTATATATTTATAGATAACTATGTATATATTTTAAAATAATTATGGTTAATGTGAACGAATTACCTATTTACAAAATGCAAACATTAAACTTTCTTATCAGTTTTTTTCAGGGATCTCTCTCACGAATAAGTTATAGTATTCAATAAATTTTACGATTTCAAGTATACTTTGTTTACCTATGTAATAAAGATAATCCGATTTTTTTAAATTATTTATGTGTCATTTATAAAAGAACGCCATTGAATGTATGTACGCGTTATAACTGAACAGGGCACAGCTCTAATGCAATTTTATTAAACGTTTTTGATGATTCGATTATTCTTGTCAACGAAAAGTTTCATAGTGTCGTAAAAAATAAAGCCTACAATGATTTCAACTAATTAATAGATTCAGGCGTTACTATGTGGAAGTTCAAGTTATTAAAAATGGAAGTAAATTAATTTGTTACTCCGCGAACCCAGTTCTTCGGCCGAGCGTCGAGCAATCAACATCCCCTGAGGATGCCTCGTGGAGAGGCGAAACACATGACGGGTATATTTTGGAGGTGGTATTTGTGACTATAGTTGTGCTTGTGTTATTTATTCTATTAATTTTATGGGGAGTGTGGGAAAATTAGCTACATGAAAAAATAGTCAACACAAGCGCAGCTATTTTGCACGATTTAACCTTCACTAGGATCGCACAGTAGCAAATTAATTTACTTCCATTTTTATTGATTTAAACGTTCACAAATTTCACACGTTATTTGGTTATAAAATCGAGACTTAATCGTGTATAAACGTTACATCTCATCCGAAACATCGAGGTAAATGAAATAATGTTTTTGATAGATGAATGAATGAATGATGATGATTAAGTCCCGATTTTGAATTAGACTAAAATCGATCTACATCGAAAATAACTTTCGTTCGCTATGAAAGTAGAGTGCAGAAGGGCTGTATTTATTTCACCAAATGTATTGCGTTATTTTGACAATTCAACGCTGCTTAATTTTGTAGTCTCGCTAAATCGTGTTAGCTGATAATAAGGTTGTAATAAAGGTATCTCATACTTACTTGCGATCCCAGATCAGCGATAGTTATCTGCAATTCGCCGACAAGTTTCGGCGTCTTACTGATTTCAGGCGCTGCGTCAAGTTGATCGGACACAGACATTAGTTTCTTTATTGCTTGTTCTACTTTCTTCGCTAGTTCCTGATGTTCATGTTCCAATTTTGACAAACGCTCGTTCAGTTCTGTGGCGTTTGCGCGTAGCTCTTTGGCTGCGGTGTGGTATATTTGTAGAGCGTCACCTACACCTTGGTTTGTTGTTGTCACTGTTGGCAAAGAAATATTATTATTGATAATATTATTACTGATTTTAAATTTTTATTAATTGATATTCAATTATTTTTTGTGAAATTACTCCACTAGTTTGTTATAATTGTTAATACAAAGATCGAACACTCAGAAAAAATTCCTTCGATCTGTCCGGATTCGAACGACGACGTCTTCTAGCATACCGTGTCAGACGCTATAACAACTAACTAAAACTTTCATAGATTTCTTATAGATGGTGCTACGACTAAAAAGTCATTGAAAAACCAAATACAAAGACACGACAACAAGCACATAGAAAAATTCGTGAGGTCCGCTGGTTCGTTCCGTGGCTCAGTTGGTATAGCGTCTGACACGGTATGCTAGAAGACGTCGTCGGTTCGAATCCGGACCGATCGACGGAATTTTTTCTGAGTGTTCGATCTTTGTATTAACAATTATTATAACTGATGTTTTATTATATTAGTTGACCAACATTGCCAACATGGTTACTAACGAAATTGTTGCAAAATAGTAAAGACCTAGTGATGATAATTCGTTTTATTTAAGTACGCAATTGACCTCAATCTCACCTGATGGAAAGTGATAATGGGGTCGATGATGTAGCATGCACACCTAAATTCAGAGCTGGTTGGTGGTGGATTGGTAAGTGTCAATTCCTGACTCCATTCTTAAGAAATGTCAGTATTTTAATAAATTTATCTGCGTCAGTCAGTCACTATCATCACTATCCATAAGCTTCCAATTAAAAATAATTATTACACAGCTTTTATAAATCAGAATCGTGAACAGTTTGCTAAGCAATTTTTCCTTATAGCATGTACCACTGTACACACATCAAAAAAAGTTTGCGATCACTTCGAAAAACTGAAATCTTTTTTGTTACTGTAGATTATATTATGATTTTTTCTTCTTTTTAGATTCTTTATTTAAAAATAAATTAGAACATAAAACAATGACCCCGTTCAATTGTTTTTTCATATAAAAAGGCTTTCAGTCCTAGCTTACGCTCATTCAGAAATCTGATTTAGTCAATTATAAGCGATTCAAGATATTTTTCGCGGAAAGTTGTGATTGAAAAAATGCCAAGAGGATTATCAGAGGTTTTACGAGCTAGAATAGTAACTTTGAGGGAAGAAGGATACACCACGAGAGTAATAGCACGCAGACTTGCTATATCCCAATCCTGTGTCGTGGCTACGTTGCAGAGGTATCACGGAATGGGGAATTTAGCTGACCGACCTCGCAGCGGTCGCCCAACTGTTTTGACAGCTGCCTAAAAGCGCTATATTAGATTGCTGGCAGCCCGTGATCCAACAATCAACGCCACTAAAATAAAAGCAGAAGTCAGGGCCGCCTCTGGGCTTGAAGTTAGCACGCAGACCGTTCGCAATTGCTTGCACCAGGCTGGATTACGAGCACGGAGGTCTTGGCGAGCTCCGCTCAATTCCCGGCAACGTCAACAACGAAGATTGCAGTGGGCTAGACTTCGGCAAAATGAAGAAGGTGAGGACGAAAACATTTGGCAAAACTGTCTCTTCGTTGACGAATCCCGAATCAGCACTCATCCAGATAACCGACGTGTCCGTGTCTGGAGAAGACCAGGCACCCGTGAAAGACAAAGAACTGCCACTGGAACAGTTCAGCAAGGCGGAAAATCGGTGTCCTTTTGGGGTGGCATTATGATTGGAGCTAGAACGCCTTTGATCCCGTATCGGGGCTTCATGACAGCAGACATGTACAAAGCAGTTGCTATTGATGATATCGTCAGAAAATTCCGAGTAAACCATGGGCACCAATTTGTACTGGTCGATGATAATGCGCCCGCACATCGAGCTCAACGAGTCAATGCTGCTCTTCAAGAATACGATATCACACGATTAGACTGGCCTGCCGGCTCGCCCGACTTAAACCCAATAGAGCACGCGTGGGATGCTCTTAAACGAGCAGTATGGAATCGTGAGCCACGTCCCCAGACAGTTCCAGAGCTCAGGGAAGCCGCTATTGAAGAATGGGATAGGTTACCCCAGGAAATGCTGGATAACTTGATCCTCAGCATGCCCAGGAGGATCTTCGCATGTATTCGAGCCAGGGGAGGAGTTATTTTATATTGAATTCACACCTTTTAATAATAAATTGTTGTTTAAGTTTAATTAAACGGTCTTTTTCTTTCTATGAAATTTCTATCACTATTACATTATGATTAATGGCTCAATTTTTTAAAATAAATAATAAAAAATAGTTTTATATTTTAATTTCAAACAGGGTATTCCTATTTAAAGAAAGCATACAACATAGATTTTTTCTTGATAAAGTTAAATTTAAAGAATTATAGGAGCTTATGCTATTGATCGCAAACTTTTTTTGATGTGTGTATATATGTGGTTCCAAATATAAAATAAAAAAAATATGTAAAACTAAATTCTTGCTATAACCAGTGACGATAAATTTCTTCTGAGACTCCCGTTTTTCCTACAAGAATGTAGTAATATTTTTATGTAGGTAAGGTAATATAGAAGGTTCAGCACGAACCACGATGTAGGTCACTCGCTACATACATATTTAGGTCAATAACATCGAGTTATTCGAACCAAATAAAACAGGAAGCTCGTTTGCTCGTAATTAAGCAGCAACCTAGTTTTTACCATCAGATTTGTAATGGTTTACTTACTAATGATTTTTTTAATAACAAACTATAGCTCAATAAAATGATTTTATACAGAACCCTATCCACTCTTCGAAGTCAATATTAGAACAATTTTGAACTCTATCGGATGACGTGGTAAATGAATATTGAAATATTGGTCAGACAGGTAAAGAGTTCAAGAAATTTTACGCATTCTTATGAAGACTAGACGCATAATACCTTCGTATACCAACACACAACTGATATTGGGTACCTGTTCTAGCTGCTGACGCATTTTAAAATACAGAATTTATTTTAATAGCTTTTTTTGTTCAGATATTCCACATGGCAGAATAAGGAAATGTCAAAGTTTTTGCTTGTAAAAAAAAGAAAAAACTCACTGGAACTTTTTTAAATACAAATTAAGGTTTTTATAAGACTTGCTAACCACAATATAAGACGTTCAAGTTATAGTCGCAACGTTTCATGGAAATACATAATAATTTTGACTACTTACTATAAGTAGTAGGTACATGGGTATGTATTATGTGCATCCATTAGTAGCAAGCAAAGGTTTATAACCTCTGCTATTCCCAGTGAGGTACAAACGAGATTGTATACATGCACTTCATTACTATGAATACATACAATAAATTTACAAATATGCTGGACGCTAAACAAAAAGAAATCATCAAATCATCCGCGCTGAATTGTCATGCATAGACCGTTAGTTTACTAACAAAGGAGAACTGAAATATTTCCATTCCCTATTATATACTGAAACTACGTAGTAACTTCCAAGAGCGAGTAAATGAAAAAAATCCATATTTTCCAACATACCTATGCATATATGGTACCGAGCTACGCAATGGAAGACGTCAACAAATCGTTGACGCAAACCACATACATAACAATCAGTCAAAACGTTTTAAAAAAGTTTCATGTCTTGGTATTTTTCCATCATAGTAAAGTGCAATCATATTAATATAGCTTTTATAAGTGATTATTAGGTACATCTATAGTTATTCATCGACGTTATCTATACATCCTTTTCGGAAACATTATTTTTAACTTCTCATGGCTACTATGTATTCTATTAATACCTAGACGGTAAGGCATAAAGATAATCCGTATATACACATCTCGAACATTTATGCGTGTCAAAATTATTTGTTGAAAATTCTGCATTACGTAACGTAAAAAAAGCGGAGGTTGATCTATTGTTGCGTGTATGAGGGGAATATTAACTTCGGTTATTATAGGAAATGCTCTGACAGCTCATCTGGCCCTCCTTGTCATAAACAACGTATTTGCGTTTTGGTAACTTTCGACTATATCGTCGGTGTTTTGTAGAAAGGGAGAAACAGCGATTTCGAATCAAGGGAGCAATGTTTTAGGTTTTAACGACTGTTTTATTATTGTATATTATTATATTCCCCTTTATAGTCCCATTTTAAAATTCAAATTTGGTTTTAATTAAGTTTGAGTTTTAAAATTGAATTTAAAACAGAACGTAAATATATTAAAACAGTAAAAAACTAAAACATGCTCCTCTGAAACTTTTGGCGTTTTCGCCCTTTCTACAACACACCCACGATGTGGTATGGTATGGGGTAACGGGGGTCCGCAAGTCGACGTCTAGGCGCCGACGTCCACAACACTGATTTCTATTAACAATAAAACTGAAACTAAATAAGTTCTCTATCTATCTAGTTCTAGTTCTCTATCTAGTTCCGCTGATTCCAGATTTATTAATACTCAATTTCGCTAATAAAGTCGATTACGTTATTTATGATAATGACGGTAGTAATACTATCGGTTAAAATTCATTCTGTACATAATATGTTTTGTGGCGTAATCTTGTGTACAACGATCATATCTATATAGGCATAATAATGCAAGCAATCACACTAATTACCCGGCCTCAAGGTCGGGAAATCCCTGTACTATGAGTACGCTACCCACCACTCCATTGAAATCGTCAATTAAGCTTATTATGACTTTCTATAGTAACTGACTTTCTATAAACATGAGCACCTACTAGTATATGAGTACATTAAATTTTGTTACAAATCTTACACTCATGGACACATCATTCCGGGCCACCTTGCATTTTTACTATTAAATGCCCTAAGTTCAGTCCCACTCAGGGCGAGATCATGTCTGCCGCATGTCAGACGAGTCGTGGGCGAAGGTCACCACAGAATGGATCTCTAAAGACAGAAAACGACAATGCAGCAGGCCAAAGCGTCGATGGAGAGACGAGCTAGACGCGCACCTAAAAGATTGGACCTCAGTGGGGCAAAACAGAGAGGTGTGAAGAGAGGGGACGCCTTTGGCCTGCAGTGGGACAGTATAGGATTTAAAAAAAAAGCTTAGTTTTGCTAAATCCTTGAAGGAAATTTGAATTTGTAAAACCGAGGAAAGTATTTCCATTGCGTGGTGGCTCGAATAATATAACTGGAAGTGTATTATTAGGCTTATTGCTCTCTGGCGCTGCGCTGTATGGTTACATTTTTTGTGAAATGACTTTATACAATACGAAGTGTTTTGTACAATTCACTTGTTTAACGTCTGAAGACAATGCAACGTTGTAATTGGTTATTCAAGCCATATAAGATTATAAGGTATGATCGGGCCAGTCACGATGAATCACATGCAGTACGTGGGTAATAGAAATCACTTGTCACACCCCAGACTACAATAGAGTGTCGCAACTCATAGCTGATAAGATGCCGTTGAGACCCACGCTGATATTGTTCGTATTTAGGTCGAGATTGTTTGCTCCTGGTTTAATTGTCTTATGGACCCTTTGTTAACGAGTGTCGAGTACAAAAATTGTAAAAAGTATATAGGGAAATTCTTCAATTAAGCTGTTTACCTTTGCAATACGATACTGCCCTGTGTAAGCTAAAGAAGTATATATTTATTAGGGTATAACTACTTTTGAGATTTACGGAATGGAACGAAAGCGTATTTCGCTTCGTTGCGTGAGAAGATACGCGCAGTCGCAGGAATGTTCGCGACTGCATCTTCAGACTATAGTAGGTGTTCTATTCTGCCCTCCTTGTTATAACTAACGCATTTATATTTTGGCACTTATACTTTTTTCTTTGAAAAAAAATTGTTAATAAAACCGTCACTAAGTAAGATATAAAAAAACCCGCTTGTAGATCTCGTTTCGCTGATTCCAGACATGTTACTAACTCAATTTAGCTAAAAATGTCGATTACGTTAGTTATGGTTAAGGATTGTTTAGTCTAGACCAAAAGGATTGTGGACTTGGATATTGTTTTCATTTCGCTTATTTGTGTGTTATTTCGCTTGTGTGTGAGAAAAAAAAAGAACAGAAAAAGTGAAAAAAATTGGGTACATGATTTATGGAAGAAACGAAAACTTTTTCGGCAATATGAAACATTTTGCAAAGATTTATATACCTTCCACCTATTTTTTATGACTATTATGCTATAACATTTTTCGTAAACGGTCGACGACGCACTGCGCTTGCCTTCGCGCCACTTCCCGTGTATTCGCCAGGCGTCACCGGGGGCAGCTGTGAGAATTTGCGAATGCGCGAGGATCCCCGAAAAAAATTCGCTTCCAAGCTGTTCTGTGGCCATGTAAATTAGACCTTAATATTTTTTCTCAACAATAATAATTAAAAACAGGTCAAAAACATGTCAAAAGCATGTCGCATATGCCCAAGGTAGGCTTCCGTAGCCGTTACGCAATTCAGCTTGTTAACATTCTCTTTGAACTTTCTTTTATAACAGCTAATTTAAGTAATCAAAATATTATGACATGAATAAAAACGCAATTTGAGATCCATACTTAATGTTTTTGCATCTATTGCTCTAATGTTAAGGAAATGTAAAAATGCTGTGACGTGTGTATAGAGACATAACGAACTATAAGTGTTTCTACTTCCAAAAAGGAAAATAAAAACGTTAATGACAATAAACTTTCTATTTATTATTGTGATTGTGCTTATTCGAGGCCGGTTCCAAAATAGTCTTTTGGTAACTGGTAAAAAATGTGCAATGTATTACACAAACCTCTGTCCATTTCAATCCTGAGCGAAACGATCTGTCTCCGCACATCCACGAAGAGCCATAATACGGTCGCAGCTGACACGACGCATACGCACAGCGCCAATGCAGCTGCCAGGCGAACGAAAGGGCGAGAACGACGGCGTCGGGTAGCACGCCTTGCCCATGGTTCTCCTTCGTCACTAGACGCTGAGAGAAGTCTTCCCCCTCGCGCACCACCACCTCCCACTAAAGCGTCCAACTCCCGTCGCTTACGCATTTTTTTCCCAACCCGCAGCGGCACTGCCGCATGCACCGCGCTTTCCATGTCGAGAGAATCGCTACCGCATCACACTTCGCAGCACTTGTCACACTATCACTGTCCGGTCTCACACGTGTGTTTCTCACAACGTTAGATAAGCGAGTGAACGTGTTATAATGTAAATACTAAACACAGTACAAACTTGCAGGTTAACCGGTCCTGTGGAGCTACCTGTTAATACTTTACGATCAGGAAGGTCACGTGTGTAGTCTGTTTTCTATGCGTCTATATAGGTGTATTGTTTAATAACAACATAAACGCTATGTCCGCGCTATCAATGATGTAATGCGACATTTTATTTATTGGGGTTTGCGTTTAATATTATGTATATTATAAATATATCACTGAAGAGCGATATATGGTAGTATTAAGGGCGATATATGGTTGTTTTGTAACCGTACATTGTCCTGGATAAATAAAATCGCAAATTTAAACACACTATAGGTACTGATAGCAAGTATCAAAAAGGAACTGCTTAGTTTGATCTACGGAAGTAAATAAACAGATACAATCGACTCAATACAGGAAATGTAGACTGATAAACTTTTTGACAAGGAACTGAGCATTCCCTTCAGCCAAAGTCGAAAAACTACTAATAACAAATAGAGCCATTGAATTATTAATGTATCCGATGAATCTAGTTGATGCCATTAAACTAATACCTACGTAGGAACGATTAGACTTATTGAAGTCATTAATGTGAACCGGAATGTAAGGACGGCAGCATATCAAGCTAAACATTGAGGGATCTTGTTCCGTTGTCCTGGAGGCGACATTCGAACAAAAGCGTATATATAACCTAGATGTGCTGTACATGTCTACGTGACGAAACCAATGCTTAATATTCATCATATATTAACTTGTAATACATTTAATATATATATAAATAATATGCATAATAATATAGTGAATACACAAATGAAAAAAAGGTCGTCTACATGTTGACGTTGAAAACTAGACTCTGAACCTTGATCTTGAGTTTTAGAGTTAGTTGTTTTTAAACTTACGGATAGTGTTAACTAGCTAAATGGTTTACGACCTCAGTTAAATTGAAAAATATATTACATATATTACAATAACTTATTAAGATAGGTTTGAAGAAAGACCGTGTAATGTAGAGGCATGTTTTCAGCATTTTAAAAATTGTTGTTTTACAAAGCTTTTGCTTTACATGCATTGAATAAGCTTCTGTAAGATATTAGTCTTGAGGTGTTAATGAACCTTATTTAATCCATTTTATATAGTAAATATCTCCTTTGATGAGACGCATGCCCAGCAGCGAGACGCTTATGGGTTGATAATAAGATCTACAATACGATAATCACCTAAAATGTTGCATACTATGTTGCATTTTTAAACAAATTCTATTCTAAACTGCCTCCGTGGCCGAACGGTTACCATGCCGGACTGAGACTACCACGCAGAGGTCCCAGGTTCGATTCCCGGGCTGGGAGAAGTATTTGTATGGCCTACATTTATTTTTCTCGTGAGTTTGGATGTAATTTGTAGTTGTCTATGTGTGTGTCCATGGCATCCGCGACACAGGGCATCCCTAGTGCGGGGCTATGTTGAGTGTGTGCGTTATTATTATTATTCTTAACTTATTTTTTTATATCAAAAATTTAAAACATTTGCTTATTTATTCCATCGACATTTGATAAAATTTTATTATTCTACACTCTTTTGCAAAAAAACGGGCACCTAAGAAAAGCTATTTACCGTCATCTGCCGTTAATTTGATAATTTAAGTAAGTATAAGTATAAGTATCCTCAGAATGTTATGAATACGAAAAGTGGTTTCAGCATTTTTTTTCTATAAATTACAATTTTCAACAATTTCCGCCGTTTTATGCAGTGAAGAGTAAATTTCTTGTAGAGGGGTTTTATGAAAAAAATAAATTGTATAAATTTGAAATGGAACAAATGTTGTTACAAATGTAGATACTTAACTATCAAGCCAGTAGCATATTTAAATGAATAAAACCTTTTTCGTATTGCAATTATTTCAGAGAGAAAAAAACAATGTGTCCGTTTTTTTGCAAACGAGTTTATAAGGTAAGTACTAAATTAGAATGTACAAACTATGTCTAATAAAGACATCAGTCAAAAACGGTTTACGTAGTTATTAATTTATACGTTGACTCGGTTTAAATTGCTAATTGACCGGGAGGCATCACAGTTGTTTATGCGTTACCTTTATTCCCTCGTTTCCTGCACGTGTCTCTACAAATGTAGGTTAGTTACTTCACTGTTAGTCTTAAATTTAAAGTCAAAATATGATATACATCGTTGTATTTTCGAATCATTATCGATAATCAGATTTAACCGCGTTCGGATATGTACAGCCGATGCCCTACGCAGATACCTGACCCTCTAGCCGACGTTTTGGTTCTGAAAACCTTCGTCTTTACCAGAAAAGTGTAAAGAAATTCCAGTCTTTTGGTTGAAATTTGAATTTATACAATGTAATTAAAGATCAAATTGGCTTAAAAAGTTACTTAAAACGTTATTCCAAGGAAGTCATACCAAACTGCATTTTACGTCTCTCAGATTCAAGATTAAGTTGGTTTAATATCATTTATAATCTCACTGGTCTACTCAGAACCAAATAGAAGGTTAAGGGGTCTGGTACCTTAGGGCTTCGACTGTACTATAATTATTCTATGGCGATCGTCTTAGGAATTATCGCTCTAAATCGATTTCAGGGTTATGTGGTTGAGCTCCATATCTTCATCAGCTTTAAACGTAACACAATATGCTTTTTAAAAAAGAAATCGAACGGGTCGACCTCCACAATGCATTTGAATAAAAAGATAACTTAAAGATAAACATCGTGTATTTGATAGGCCAAGAGATACGTGACCATTATCGACCTATAAGCGGTGAATGAACAAGGCGCATGCGCTGTTATGCGGCAACCAATCACCACTTACACAGCTTTTGTGATAATAATAAATTAAAGACATTTCTGTATAGTCTTCATCACTTGCATGCCCTTTTGGTGCATACAAATACATTTGATAATGAAATGTAAAAGAGTAGCTTATCTTTGTTATGCGAGTTTGAAAAGCGCGCTCTTATACTGCGACATATCGCGAAAATCAATTCGCTTTGATCAGTCATGGATACACGTACAATAACACTACTGCATTTTTTAAAACGGTAAATGAAGGACTTTAGAAACACTTTGGATAACACATTAAAAGACTTAAAACACTACGACCACCGAACAACACGCATAGAAAAACAGACTACCGATTAAGAAACGCAATACAATCCCTTTGGACAAATTATTCGAATTATTTCGAATGTGGAATGCACACTTTTTGAAGGGGAAAATATAATGTTTATGATTAGAATAGTTAGCGAGGACGGCAGGGTGCAAACTGGCTAGTGACGTCACGTATTTATATTGAGCATGCGTCCTACCGCCTCTTCGGGCATATAGAAACTAGATATGGCACCGACACGAACTTTGTGCAAAAAACAAAAGATAATATAAACTAACCGCATGCATTCTTCGTCACAATGTGAAATGACAGTCTTTATGGAAATATAGCGAACCTCAACTTGTATCGTTAAACTATAACAGGTATTATATTATGATGAAACATGTGGCTATTATCAAAATTTATGTTATCGTTAATTTTAATAATCCTACGTGCAACCCAATTAATGATTAATATTACTGCGTATTTCATCCATAATGTACATATAGTACATATGTATTCGAGTCTTATTTATCAAATATTTTTTGTGTCATAATCGATTTTACACTTTTAATCAAGCATTGCCTTAAACAAACCTAAAGGTCGTATTCCTGAACTCTACTCAATACTCAAGTCAGGACTTGAGTATTGCAGTGAGCACTGAAAATCATACTCAAGTCCTTGCCATTAGGGTCATATTTTCAGTGCTTGAAATCATACTCAAGTCTGCTCAAATCCTGACTTGAGCATTGAGTAGAGTTCTGGAATACGACCCTAAATCTTTATGTAATCAATTAAAATGTTAAATTTGTGGAATATCTTTTATCACTCACATTTCTAGTAATTTAACTTCCTGGTTACTACGCGCGATATCATTGACGTCCTACCGTCCTACGCTTCAAGTACCAGTAGTGGGGACGAAGCCAAATTTTGTGCACTAAATTGTTACAAAAGTGTTACATCTTATTACGCACCTGCTGCTGATGAGATGTATAGCACATACTGCCTAGCATATTTTTTGATAAGTGACTTTCTGATTACAACGTATAATTAGAAAAAACGAAATTGCGACGTCCTTATTTTTTATAATTTCGCTGTAAAGTGTTTGTTGAAATATTTTACTTAGGTAGATAGCTATTTACTGTCAGCCATGACAATAAAATTGCTAAACGTAATGAGCGTAACGCCGATGTAAACAAAATGTTAAGTACAATTAAACAAATGTATACTCCCACTGCTAAGCACGGATCTCTTCTATGAACGAGTTTCTGCCTTTCTAGTCCAGTACATAATTTTAAAATGTGAAAATAGGTAGATACTATATTTCAAAATCATCCATAAGTAGGATGACACCTGACCAAAAGAAAGCTTTATAACTTCAGCCACGGCATAGCGAGAATGCTGGTTAGAGTCCAGCCGGATCGAAGGAATTTTTCTTTGTGTTTGATCTTTGTATTAATGATTATAACAAGCTAGTGGAGTAATTTTACAAAAATAATTGAGTATCATGGTAGTAAGGCCTTATTCAGAGTGGCGGCGGGTGCGTGTAAATCTAATGTACGTACATAGTGCTTGGTCTAGAGTCCGTTTGCAAGTTCGACATGTGGATCTAACGGTTTTAGTAGCTTCGGCACTGTGAAAGCCAAGACCCGCGCGCACGCACCCGCCACCACTCCTGCACCTGCACTCTGAATGAATTCTAAAGCATTGTGACACTGAATACTGCTTAATAACTTGTTGTGTAAAGTACATTACACTGTATAATCTGGTATGCTGTATTCCATTATCGCTACTGGTATAATGAGTTAGCAGCAGAGATATATGAAAGTATAAAACAATATCATATTCACATTTTCAGCAGAGGAGCCCTGGTGTGTACCCAGTTGTCTATACATAACTATTAGCAACCAAATAAATAAACCAAATAAAATTCAGCCAAGCTAATTTCGATGACATGGTAAACATCATAGAATATCTAAACAATGAAAAAGATTATGTACTTATGTAGAAAACAATAAATTGTATGTGCTCACCAGAGTCCATTTGCATCTTCATGCTGGAGACCTGGTCGTAGAGAGTAGCACAGATCCATGTGAGCATTAGCAGCCACAGGAGCAACGTGCCCCGCAGGGCCCAGCGAACGGCACATTGTACCTCGGCGCCGATGTTCACCTCTTGAGTTTTAGGTGAAATACCACGTGAGCGGTCTCTCCTTCAAAAATATATGAACAAATATATTAATATCAGAAACTGAGTAGTGTAGAGTACTCTTATACAAAACCAATTAAATATTTTTTTTAATAAACTTAAACAATCATTTAACTTCAAACAACATATGCCTAACACTTTATCAATTTAGTGGCCATACATTGTTATAACAACAAACATATGTTTATTACACTATATTATATACATATTTCATGTATTACTTATATTTTACACTGTATAAATTAACCATACATTTTTTCCTCAAAATTTTTTATTTTTATTTGAGCATAGCACTGTCTTGTTTTTTTTTCCAGAGAATGCCATATGGCCACTATTCGTACCTTATTGAATTTTGGACACTGTCCATATGTCTAATACCTATGCTGATGTATAAATTATTTCTTACCTAGTTACTTTCTTTTTTCTACTTGGAATTATTTCTAACTGCAAGTCTTCTGACTCTTCGTCGCTAGATAAGTCGAGGAGGCGAAAGTTTTCTTTGTTAACCTTTGATGGTAAAGACATTTTCGTTCTCTATTCATACACATGTTATTAACACTTCGTATAACGTCCTTTCAGATGTAGAGGAAGAATCCCAACTAAATCTGAAGCGGTAGGGTTATGTTACGACATTTATAAATTTCAAAAAATTCTACACCTAAAGGCACTCTAGTAACGCATGCTCATGAAGACAAAAAAAACTAATAACAAACACACAAAAACAATGGTTTTTGATAAATAGAAAAATATCACGAGTCGAAAGTTGACATTGTTATCTATCAAATCAAAATAGGGATATTTGTTGAACATCGATGTATCGAATCCATTCGATTTTCATTGTACGATACATCGCATCGATATTTTTGAATAAAAATATCGAATCACAGAAAACACTAACTCAGGCCGTGCCTTTGTGTTTAAATTTGATATTGTAAGTTATTTAGTATTTGTTTTATTTGTATTTACAATCCTTTATTTCATTTTTCTGTTTAAGAGTAATTGAATATGTTTCGAACTTATTTGTCTATTTTAGGCAGTTTACATAATCGCAAAAAACATTCCTACAAGGAATTATTCTAACTTAAAAACATTTCTATTAATTTGCAGTTTTTTTTACCTATAAATGTATGTCTTACCGATGCAATACTATTTTTTTTTAATTTCCTTGCTTCTCTTGACCAGTACTACTGAACTAACACACTGTATCACAAAATTAAACGTCACTACAGCGGCAGCACCACTCTATTAGTATAATGTTACTCTGCATTCACTGTTAAGCTAAGAAAAACAAAAAAGTATTCGATGTTGACAAAAACGTCGATGCTTTTAAGCTATGCATCAAAAAACATCGATTCCTTATATCGAATGAAGACATCGATGTATTTTCTAAGTGGACACACCTAAATCAAAACTTAATTCGATTTAAATTTGGATACATTTACTAATTATTCACAAACACACACGAAAAAATTTTTCGTTCATTCGAAGTTCCTGATTTTTCAAATATATGAACACCAAATTTTTAAATTTTTTCTTCATTTCTTGTGCCCAACAAGATAAATCATTCTTGTAGATAAAAGTTTTCTACGTGTTTTTCAAAATGTTTTATTGAAATATCCTAAAGGTTATTGTGGCAGTGGTATTTTAGAGATTAGCAAAATATTTTATCAAAAAATTTCGGTTTTTTTGTCCGATTTTAGAGACGTTACGTTATTTGGCAAGAGGATTAAATTATTTGATATTTGTACAGTCAAGAGCACGTCAAGCTTGACACTTTGTACTTTGGACCGTTCTTACCGCAAGCGGCATAGAGTTGGATTTAAATCTTAATTGTCAAGCTGGACGTGCTCTTGACCCTGTACATATATTTCACTGGCTTTGTTCCATTGCATTAAACTAAATACTGGAAAAATGCCCCCCCCAACTGGGTAGTTAAACTTGCCATATGAAAAAAAAAAATCTGTCAGTTTGACATTTGGGTATTGGGTATGACAGCTGGAAATGGATTCGTGTGGTTCTTGTCGGTTACTATTTTTTAGATTTTCATTCTTTTAGATAAGCAGATAGATCAATGGTTACTTAATGAAAAAGTGAAGGAAGGGTACCGATCATGAAAGAAAAATGGAATTTCATACTGTACCTCGTATGGTTCTCATATTTAATTTTGTCTGCCATTATTATGTTCGGTCATGGATTCCTGTTATCTAGGAAGGCGTTGAGTGATATTTCGGAATGTTTGCCGCTAAAGGAGTTCGGGTGTGATGGACGGGAGTTGGCTACATCGACAGCTAAAGGATCGTGTAAGGACGAGGAAAAAATTCTTCGTATTTTGGCTAACCGTGGTGCTCCGGTTACATGCGCAACCACGAGGCACCGTGTGGTGTTTATATTAGTGGATGCGCTGCGTTATGACTTTACGGAATACGATGATAGTCTGGTCAAGCCGCTGCACTATCAGAACAAGCTGCCAGTATTGCGGGAAACGTTGGAAAAATGGCCGGAACGCACCCGTTTATTCCGATTCATGGCAGACCCGCCCACGACCACCCTACAACGCGTCAAAGCGTTGGTAACCGGCTCTTTGCCTACATTCATTGATGCTAGCTCTAATTTTGCTGCTATGGAATTACAGGAAGATAATATTATTGATCAGGTATATGTACTCTAGTTCATTTGTCAATTTTTTAAATTACAATATCTGATGTAATTGAATACACTGAAGAAAAAAACTAAATATGATTTTTCATGAACACAAAACTTATATTCTATGTAGAAATTAATACATATATATATATATATATATATATATATATATATATATATATATAAAATACATTAAAACATGACTGCTGAGCCTTAGGAAGTGCTACCTAATCAAAATATTTACTAAGCTGAAACGTGAGACTAAGTTGTGAGCAAGTAAAATAAAATAATTATTCTTTTCTTAACTTATAAAGTACTGTTTTTGTTTCTTTAAAAAGGTAGCAAAAGGAGGAGGCAAGGCAGTACTTCTGGGAGATGATACTTGGTCAAGACTGATACCAGGCAAATGGCTACGATCTCATGCTCAGTACTCTTTCCACACCTGGGACTTGGATACTGTTGATACTGGTTTGTAATTTATTAAACAATATTTTAATATGTTGAAGATATCTAAACATTTAAAATCTTTTGTGTTTTCTGTCAATCCTCATTTGCAATTTAGAAATTGCTGTAGTAAGTTATAGCAAATGAGTCATTTGATATATAAATAATTAATTTTATTGGTGTATCCAACTATCATGAGAGTTATTAAAAAAAAATCATTGTTTCTAAAATGTTACTATTTCAATTTCATCATTTTATTAAAGAAGATGATATATTCACTTTTTCCCAATTCTTTCTTTCGTTATTGAGTATGCCTTTACAGTTTTTTACCTTGTAATAAAACTGCTGTATCTTTAATGCTAGACCTTTAATTGTTTGAATAATACTATCATTATGTACATTGATAAGATGTGATATATAAAAATGTTTGCTGTTAGATTTAAGTGTTAGATGTTACCTACTGATTTACTTATTTCTTGACATAGTTAGATTACAAATTTTAAAGTAACTAATTGAATAATTACACCTACATAATGGCAATGACTACTTGGTACTTGGTACTTGGTGCAACGGGCTGGTTTCCGCAACTCGACGACAATGCGCCTATTTTGCGTGTGGTGGGTGCAGGGTCCTACTCATGCCACCCAAGCTCCTCCAGGAATCTCAGCAGCCTCCTATGGCAATGACTAATATCTTGAGGAATATAAAATTAAAACTTACTTATATACGAAATTGCACATTTGTCTTCAATTCTGTGATAGTTTTTGACTGCGCAAAAATTATGTAAGGCATATATTATACTCTAAAATCGCAGTAGCAGTGTCTTTTTGCACCAATGTTTGTGTCGTTTATGGAAGGAACTATTATCATGAATCTGCAACAGTCAAAATGTAATTTATACCAAAATCTAATTTATGATCTCATTTATTTTCATTCATAGAAGTGGACTCAAAAATCTACAATGAGCTAAAAAGTCATGATTGGGACCTTCTAGTGGCTCACTACTTGGGAGTAGATCATGCAGGCCACAGATATGGCCCGAATCATCCTGAAATGGCTCGAAAACTCAATGAGACTAATAGTAGACTGAGAAAAATCATTGAATTCCTTCCACCTGATGTCCTGTTGTATGTTGTTGGGGATCATGGAATGACTGAGTCTGGTAAGTTAATTCTTTATACTTACGAAAAAACATAAAATATATATTGCATCCTTTTATGGTGCTTAATCTGTTATGTTTCACTAAAACTTATTTGAACCATATTTAAAAAAATATAGAATGACAAAAAGAGTAGATGCTCTGTAATATTTTGATGGTCTGTTATATTTTTTTAATCCATAAAACTAATATTTAATTTTATGTGTGCATTCTAATAAATTGTGTGAATTTAAAAGGCTATATATATTTTTTTTTGTAAAAGTAAATTTTCATATTGTTTTAGACCCACAAGAGTGGACTGAATCAGGTGGTAGGTATACAGTGTAGAGTTTTATTTTATATTTTCGTGTCTTTTCTTGCTAGATTATTGCTATCTGTGTTCATATATGTTAATGTTAACTAACATGGTGTTAAAAGAATATATGTGTTTTGTAAAAATAACATTTTTAACAAAATTTGAGAGTAGTGTTTTCTCTGGCACCTAACCGGAATTCTGTAATAATTTATTGTATGGTTTTTGTTGCATATTTTTTTTGCATGGTGTAAATACAGTGAGCTCCATCGCGAGCATTTGCACATTGACATTGAAACTAGGATTCTGGAGCAGTGAAAGTTTAACTAATGCTTGCGGTAGAGCCACACCCATAAGACTAAAGCTGTGTGGCTAAGTTAAATTTAAATGTAAATATAGTTTTTCATATAATTTCAAACTTGAAAAATCTCTTTTCATAACAGCTTGAACGGCGTTAGCGCAGCTTTTCCTGCAGGACTCGAAAGGTGTATGTACGTCTGATTTGTCCACATTCCCCTTTCTTGCCTCGCAGCATTTAAGAGAGCTGAGCTTTTGATCATAATGCTTTAATATTCCTTCTCTATTAATAGGAGACCATGGTGGTGAAAGTAAGGCGGAACGTACAGCTGCATTTTTCGCGTACCGAAGTTCAGGCCTTGGTGGAGAAAAGTCCGAAATTGAGACGGGCAGGGAAGTGCAACAAACTGATTTAGCTCCCACATTAAGCGCCGCATTGGGTCGTCCACCACCTTCGCCGTCACTAGGCAGTATATTATTGGCAGTTCTCCCTGAGATGACTATGACAGAGACTTTGTTACATTTCAGCAATAATATGAAACAGGTATGCTTGTATAACAATATTCTATTATAAATAAAATTGTTCTTAGGTTTAAATTAGTATAATGTTGCGCATTTTTCTTTCAGATAACACATTATTTAATAAGATACGGCGAGGAATCTCAACAGATTTCCCTCGACAAGCTGGCTAATTTAATTAATATCACTAGAGACCATGTGGAGAGAGCGGCTAGCATTAGCACCAATGACGAGCTTAATAATTATATTATTGATGTTAGGTACGAGCTTTTAATAGTATGTGAGTTATATTATTTAACTGCCTCCATGGTCGAACGGTCACCATGCCGGATTGCCACGTAGAGGTCCCAGGTTCGATTCCCGGGCCGGGAGAAATATTTGTATGACCTACATTTACTTCTCTCGTGAGTTTGGGTGTAATTTGTGGTTGTCTATGCGTGTGTCCATGGCACCCGTGACACAGGACTTCCCTAGTGCGGGGCTATGCTGAGTGTGTGCGTTATTATTATTATTATATTAGCTGGTTTTGTTGTATTTTAGTGCAAGAATAACTATTTATCTATTATATTATAATTATACTTTTTGAAAATTACGATTGAAATGAAAATGTTTCCCTAGTAAGTAGAAGGTTATCAGTGCATGAAAATGCATTATACTTTACAGAGATTAAGAAATAACTGTAGGTTTTAACATGAAATAAGACTTCGTTAAATCCAATCACAAACTTCTATTTAACAGTTTTCTACTATATCTAAGTGGCTACCAGTAGTATCTTGGTATATATTGTTACTATTTCTCATATATTTGCCGTAGTCGATAATCGTTTACTCGAGAGTACACTCAGCTCTATATTTTTTAATTTAAATTCAACTATGTGCCACTTATAATAAGATATCGAAAGTTCGATGTGTAATATATTATGTACGTTAATATTTATGTTTATAAACATAACTGAAGTTTACATCTGTTCTAATTGTAGAGACACAAAAATCAGTTTTGGTTTTACTGTTCACTGTCACTCATCATCTAGTACTTGTATAGGTACATTAAATTTGACATTTAAGTGTGTTTGTGTATTATTACTCTTAATAGTTTTTTGTTTCAGGGTGTTGGTGGATAACGTCCGTGGCGTTTTCCGGGAAGTATGGGTAGAGTTTGACTCACTGTCAATGCTTAGAGCTCTCTTGTTAATGCTTCTGGCCATATTTTTTAACTGGCTACTCACCGAAGGTCTCCCAATGGAACGTCTTCCAGCAGTCTTTGCCAGTTCATTTGTACCTTCAGGGTTTATATCTATGATTGTATGTATAGGTCTATGTTATACTGGTTATTACTTCAAAATGTTCGAGGATTTAGAACATGCGATTATTTTGAGCACAGGAATGGTATCTGGTTTCATTGTTTGCGCTCTAATAATCATGCATTGGGATGGCATTACCCAAAGATGGTATGAAGGAAGGTCACAGTTCTACGAACGATTTTCAAGATCTGCCTTAGTAGGTTCAGCTGCAGTGTTGGTATCAAATAGTTACATTATCGAAGAAGGAGCTACTTTGTCATACTTAACACTCTCTGTTTTAGCTTTAATGGCCTGGAATACAGGCACGATAAAAGCTTTAGCGTTATGGGTGTGCTGTGGCGTAGTGATGACTGTGTCTAGAATTTATAGAGGCTGTAGGGAGGAACAGGGGGATTGTTGGACAACGGGGGGAGCGGTACCAAGTGGACAGGCGTCTAGAATAGCCTTAGTAATGGCGTTAGGTTCTATGGCGGGTGTAGTAGTGTTAGTAAGAAGGCATACAGGGTGGCGAGGACATGGGGTAGTGGTAGCTGGATGTTTCGCGTGTGCTCATTGGGCTGTAGGGTGGGGATCTCTAGGATCTCCGAGTCGATCGAGACTTCTAGCTCGAGGCGCGTGGTTGGTCATTGCGACTATGTTGGGTTTGTTATGGAAGAAGGAAGGGCAAGGTGCAACGTTGCCCTTGACCGTGTGCGCATTATTGCTCTACGTGGCGAATACGTTGGTGCTGGGGGCTGCGTACGCCCCTTCCGCATCGCTTGCTTTGTTAGCTGGATTCTTGGCGTTGAACATCGTATCGCTTTTGAAGACTGAAGGTTCTACTAAGTTATGTAAGTGTTTAGTTTATTTCTACAGAATAATTAACGAGATAAAAAACGAGATTTAAAATTATTGGACAACAGCTTCTAGATAGACGCCTCACGTGTACGTACTTCGCGTGCCCAAAGTGAAATTCACTTACTTGCCGCTGCTATACTTCAGAACGCGCATGACCGTTATCGAAGATAAGCTCCCGTCAAGGAGGAAAAACACGAAAAATTCGTCATTGTGCCATTATAAACTGCAAACACAATATAGCTGTGGATAACCGGGAAACATGGATGTATCCTTCCACGGGCAAGTGATTTTGTAATCAGAAGATGTGAGATGAGAGGTTTTGTGTGAATTTCGAGAAAACAAATATGCAACCGAGAGTATGCCTCATGATTTGTAATACATTGCGGCTTTTACTTGGTGCGATATATTTGTAATCCTTTTTTAATACGCCACGAATATCGAACGGACGCACTTTTGTGAATGCATTATTCAGTTTCGTGGTACGGCCGCTTGTACATTTCTTTGGCCAAATTTAATATTTAGTGATGTATACGTTAGGCTACACTGTTCTCGATTCTGATTGATTTTGAAAACAAAGGGACGAAAATTATTATGACCTTACCAATATTATAGAAATATTCTATAACTCTTTTGTTGTAACGTTTTTTTTCGGTATTGTAGTATCTATTATCGGTAGTATATATAGCAGCACGTAGCTTCGAATGTCCGAATATAGTGAGCAAATAATTACATACATCGCCGGATATGTAGTACGAGTAATACAAAAAATATATAATGCAAAGAATTTACAGTGCGCACTGTGTTTTACAAAATACTGGAGTTGGGAATACGGATCTTCTTATACAGGTGAATTTTTAGTCATCGTCCAAACTTTCATATTATGATCTTTAGTGAAAATATAACATGCGCAAATTTTCCTTTTAGTGTAAATCAATACTAAAATTAAGATATGCCATCGCAAAATTGTTTTAAAAAATTGCGCGCGTGTGGACAGCCTACTCGATATGCGCGCTAGGCGCCACCCTAAGCGTCATTGATAAAAAACATAAGTTGCAAATTTAAGTTGCAAATTTTCCCTTCATACTTTCATGGGCTTATGACCGTCAAGTTACAAAAGGCTTTTGTGATGTTATTTTAGAATGTAGACAATTAATTCGAATTCAAGTCAAGATTTTGTTACATTAACGCACGAAAACGAGAGCGGAAGTTAATTATAAGTAAATTGTTTTAGAGGTTTGACCAAATTTAATGATATTATTACAAAATAATGATAAAAATAATGCACCAGATAAACACACCTAATTAGGAAAGATCGTTTCCCGAACTTAACTTTTACGCATTTAAAGCGTTGTGTTACCGAAGGCCATCGAAGAATTTACTTATTGAATTTCAAAGTCACTGAAAATTTTACCCTGTGTAGAGAACAAAAGAAAATAATCTTTACTTTTGTTTGTGAGACAAACAAATAAAAGGTTCGCTTCCTACGATGAATTGTAACGAATTAGTACTTAGCAAGTAATGAAAAAAAGAATCTTCCCATCGCCCTTTTGCTATCTACGCACGTGGTGTTTTTTTATTAGTGAACTAGAAACATTTTATAATAATATCAATAAATTTAAACAAAACATCGATTTACGACAAATGTAGTCCGCACTCGTATCGTACACAGAAGTATAAAAATAAAAGCAGGCCATGCCTTTTGCAATAAGGCGTATTTAAAAAATTTGAATCAACTTATGTTCATTTAATTAAAATCAAATAAAAATTACCTGAGCGTAACAACTTTAACAGTATTTTAATAATTATTCAAAATGTAAACCATTCCTCTCCAAGCAGATTCTTGCACGTTTTTGAATATTGTCTTGTATTTTGTTCAGCACTGTCGCGTACGACCACCAATGTTCATTATGTTGGTTGTACAGCTCCACACGTGTGAATAGGGCTTCATCAGTCCATAAAATGACCGCGTCGGGGTGTGCGATCAGCCACTCGCAGAAAACACGACGAGGCAGCGCGTCTGCTTCATTTAGCGTTTGCACTTTTTGAAAGTGATAAGGGTGCAATCCAGAGGTGTTGAGCAGCTTCCACACAGCGTATTGGCTAACGTTGAACCGTCTAGCTGCATCACGTGTACTTCGTCTTGGATCTCTCTCGAAAAAATCGAAGATTTCGTCTTCGATTTCCACGGACAGTCGCGGCCTACCACGTCCTTGGGCGTGTGAAGGCGTCGTAAACTGGCCATGGTCTAAAAACCTCTGTATGATATGCAGAAACGTTTGGCGGTTGGGGACTGTAGGACTGCTATTTCATAATTGCGAAGGCGAGGAATGCTCTCTGACTCGTATAGTCTCTGGGCTCCGTTTAGGCTTTCATCACTTATAAAATAGCACTTCACCATTTCAAAGTACATAGTGTATACATAGTGACACGTGAATGCGTTTTCAATAGCGAGATAGCGTTGCACACACGTACGAAGCGCTACACGGACATGTGGCGACTGAAGTGACAGCCACCAATAGCGTTCGGCGCGGGCGGCGGCGGTGGCGGCATTTTGCTTTGGCGGCGTATGATTGGAGAATCCGCACGGTTAGCGTATGGCATTCGTTCATTGAACTACGGGCGTCGTAGTAAATAATAATAGCGTAAATTGGTAACCAATTTTTGTCGAGTATTACTTCGGAATAAATATTTTCATTTTGAAAATAGACATATCAATTTTTTTTCGAAAATGGAGTCTTTGAATGATACCTAGCGGCTGGAAAAAATTTGGACGATGATTAAAAAATCATCCTGTATACGGACTTCGAGGACGAAGGTGGTCTAGTCTATCCCACCTAAGATGCTATCCAAATATACAGAATAGCAGAATAGAAATTCGATAAATAATGAACAAATCACAAAAATTTCACACGAGGCCGTCATTAAGTAATCAGAAGAGGTTCTGATTAATAAGATTTTACTATATTTTATTAGCAGTAACATTTTCATTTGTCTTGCCATTCATCAATTTGATCAATTACCAACAGAAAACCATCTAGTAAAATTAATTAAGGCAGAAGCAAGTTCATATACTGACGTGCGTTTTCTTTATTTAAGTTAATCGATCTTCAAGATCTTCTGTTACAAAAAGATGTTATATAATAAGCTCATGTTATTGGAAGGACAATAATTTTCTATCTAGATATATATCTGTGGGTGGGATAAACTAGACCACCTTCGTCCTCGAAAGCAACGAACTCATACGTATAACCTACTCCAGGTTTTTGTAAAGACAGCGCACTGTTTTCTTTGCATTATATATTTTTTTGTATTACTCGTACTACCTACATATCCGGCGATGTATGTAATTATTTTCTCACTATATTCGGACATTCGAGGCAACGTGCTGCAAAAATTATCGAAATTACAGATACTACTGATAATAGATACTACCAAACAAAAAAAAAACGAAACGTTATAACAAAACACTTATAGAATATTTTTATAATATTGCTAAGGTCATAATTTTTCGTCCCTTTGTTTTCAAAATCGATCAGAATCAAGAAAAGTGTTGCCTATCGTATACATCAATAAATGTTAAATTTGGCCAAAGTAATGTACAAACGGCCGTACCACGGAACTGAATGCATTATACAAAAGAGCATTCGTTCGATACTCATGGCGTATTAACAAAAGATCACAAATATATCGCACCAAGTAAAAGCCGCAATGTATTACAAATCATGAGGCATACTCTTGGTTGCCCACAGTTTGGTACTTTTGAGGTTTATAATGGTACAATCTTAGAATAATAACGCATAGAATGATAGTTTCGTGTCAAACGGACTGTCACAAGTGAGACAAAAATCAAATTCATGTAGGGCAGTTTTAGTAGTAGGTTAATTTTCGGTTTTAATGAATATTTATATAAAAATACAAGTTGAAACGCGTTACTTCCTTGTGGAATGTGATGTTAGTATCTATTTTATGTTTGTCTGACGTATTTTTACACTCATTTACCGCACATTTCGTCATTTTTAGCTAAAATTCTAGAGCTGTTCGCGGTGCATGTTGACCTTGAGCACTGAAGGCCCGCCCGCTCGTGTAGGCCCTTTGGGAGCGCTTCAATTTGCCTCGCGTGTGCGGGTTAGGTTTCTATGCGTTATTATTCTAAGGGTACAATTACGAATTTTTCGCGTTTTCGACTAGTGTTTCTCTACGATAACGGTCGAGTGCGTTCTGAAGTGTAGCAGCGGCAACTAAGTGAATTTCACTTACTTTGGGTACGCGAAGTACGTACACTTGTGGCGTCTATCTAGATAGATGTCTGTGTGATTACACTATTTAATGATGAATATTTTTTTTTCTTACTAAAAAATAATTAATAATTTAAATTGTGTTGTGTAGTGTTATAGCAATTACATTATTTTTAATTATATATTAATAATTACAATATTTTTAATAATAACTCTTCTACTTAAAAGTCTTTACGTTTAAATAACTAATTAAAATGAAAAATCGAATAAACGAAAAGAATAGCCAAAGGGCCCAAAGGTTGTGTTTTTTTATAAATTTATTGCATGACATGGATACAAAGTCCTTCAGTCGACAAATGTTTTAACACTAACAAAAACAAAACAAAGGCTTAGAACTTAGAACAAATTCAAATTAAATAATTATTTACATAAATTGGATGATAAGATTTAATTTTTTTTCTACCGTACTTATAATAATCTTATAGAGTGGGATAAAGAACTCATTATTGGATAGTAAGTCCTGAACGCACACAACTATCGCTGTCACTTATGTCTTTCAAAAGAAGAGACCGTTGGCTGTTGAAGTTAGTTGTAAATAATATGCTGTAAATCTGCTTCGTCTTCAGTGCAGTGGGGACATCTTGTGTTATTTAGGATCTTTATCAAAGGTTGTGTATCCCCGAAACATTACCAATAGGATAAAAAATCTTTCCACAGTTTTTTGAGCTTATCTTATTAAATATAGTGCATTGAGTAAAAAAAAACAATATTTTGTCATTCACACAATTTAAGAACAATATAAAACATCTGGCATTAAGTTTTAGCCCTTTTTACGTTTCCACTATTCTTAAATTATTTTTTCGTAATGGCATTAACCTTGTTTACATTTTTGTATTAGGATTCCATCTCAGGGTTTAGAGTAATCATAAATAATTTACTAATAAGTGATTTTTATTTCTTTATAAAACAAAATGATTTAATAAAAAGCAACTGGTATTAAATATGGGCGTATATTGACATTGACAATTATTCACCTCATTCTTAATTTGATAAACCTATTAATGAATAAAAATTGTGTTACAAAATCATGAAATTGAAAACCGTTTACAGCAATTACAACCCGTTGCAGTTCAAGCGTAGCATGCATGTGGGCTCTACTAGCATCGTACCAGTTCTATGGAATGGGGCACCATGCTACATTGGGCCATGTGCGTTGGGGTCCAGCCTTCCACGCGGGGGACCCTAACTATCTCCCGGAGTACCCAGTGGCGATTGGGCATATTGTTATTGGAAGTTTGGTCTTTATTGATCTGTTTGGTGAGTAAAATAATTTGAAATGTATGAGAGAATGATAACTGACTTTATATTATAATATATACAAGATATTAAATAAATAAAGCGAATTAAATATAACAATTTGATTCGCTTAGTTTACCTATTAACTGTTTTTCTTATTACGACTCTAAAACGATATGTATGTATGACTATATCGTACGAATGAAGCGTCTGTATTAACTAGTCTTTTTTCGCAGGCATGCAGCTAATGTTCGGTGCGGCAGTGCCTCTTTTAGCGCTGTGGGGCCGTAATGGCGCGGCGGCAGCCGGTCCGCGCACGCAACTGGCTGCTGTGTTCAGTCTTTGTCTTAAATTTGTGCTCTGTTTCGCTATCAGGGTAAGCATCTATTTATTGTACACATCCTACTATTTTCGCGATTGTTACACATAGGAAATGAAACTATTTTTCCGGATTTAAATCGCTTTTTTTTAAATTGACTGTCAATCGTCAGTCAACCATGATCTGCAAAGGGCACGAAACGTTGGTTTGTTTGAAAAAACAAATATACGCGAAAAAATCCTGAAAAATAGTTTCATTTCCTAAAAACAAATAAATTTTGTCATAATTAGTTTGCTTAGCATTAGGTATGTGATAGCATTTAGACTGTAATCTAAACCCAGCTTACACTGCTGTTCGGAATTTTTCTTTAGAACCAGTCTAACCTCTCCAGGTCGCTGTCCATCAGGGGACCATTAAATAAAGGTGGTGTGGTGCAGTGGTGACCTATATCTACTAGTTGTATACCTAACAAACAGCTTAAACTACTGGTTATGTATGTCTTCTGTCATTTAAGCGATAAGAACAGTTTTTTAACCACTGTTTATTTTTAACTTTCCATAGGTATTCGCTATAGCTATATCAGCGACAGTTCACTGCAGACATCTGATGATCTGGGGTGTATTCACTCCAAAGCTTTTATTTGAAAGCGGCGCCTGCGCAGCCGCCCTTCTAGGCACGCTCATTGGCGCTACGTTGACCGTGCGCCATCTACCGACACCGCAGAGAACTAGTTGACGTAAGAGGTCCACCTAGTATAAACTCTTTAGGCAAATCGAAAAGGTATTAAAATCGTTGAAGTTTCTTATGAGGTATGTAATGTAGCAATTGTTTTCATACAAAAGGTTGTGCATGAATTTGTCCAACCGGTACGTAATAAGCTAATAAGTTTAAGACCTTTTGTTAATGATACAAGTAACGGGACGAACAAGTCGTGCGCCTGGTGGTAAGCGACACGCTTGTCCATAACACTTGCAGTGGCACTTTGAGCTTTAAAGCAAAGATCTGAAGAGCGTTGCCTACTGCCCTCACCCTGAAACAAGTTGACAAGTCCCATGTGCTTGTAATTTCACTAGCACCTTCAAAATCAGAACGCAGTAATGCTCACAGTACTTGGCGGCAGAAATAGGTAAGGTGGCAGTACTTCCCCTGACGAACTCTTTATTAAGGAGCTCTACTGCTACATTACTTATTTTTGGTTTTGAAATTTTTCATCACACGACATGAGTACTGATGTAGAAAAACTCATTTGGACACATTCATGTAATATTTGTATGAAAACTGGGCTGTCGCATACCATTTTGATAGTGTTTTTCGTTAATATTCACGACACTAACAAGTGAGGCATATGCTTCAAGAACGAATGCTCAGTGATGATTGCGCCTTGAAAAATAACGCAAACAAATATCCACTGCCTTTCTATATAAAACCGAAAACGCGAAAATATTACTTCGCTCTCGTTAAAGACGCGTCCCAGTTACTCAAATTTTATTTAAGGTTGTAAACCTGTACTCTAGAATTTCTTTTAGATTTACTACATTGTTGTAAACATGATCGAGCTAAGTTTGAACGGCAGTATCGTATTAAAGATCAAAGGTATTATATTTAAAACTATTATAAGATTTAAGTGTACGTATGCGTGTTTTAATTTAGTAACATTGGAATTCGAACTTAGCTCTGCCGTGTTAAAAGACTACAACAAGATTGTATACTTAAGGACCATGGACTAATAACTCGAGAGGACTGCTAATTTTCATAATATAGATCGTAAGTCTGAAAAAGGTCAAGTTCCCGTCCTATTATCTAAATGGCGCTGATCAATAGCCTGCAAATAGTTTATATACTCCCGGACACATAATTCGACCCACCTCGCATTTTTGTCGTAAAGGGCTAGTATACAAAAATAGTGTTATCATCGAAGAAAAAGTTTTCCCCTGTTTTGCAAATCCAAATTCCCAACAAGGACGTATGGAAAAGACGTTTACTAGTTAGTTAGTTACTAGTAATACTAGTTTCAAAATTGCATAAAGGTTTTTGATCAATCAAACATTGTTTAAGCTTTGGGCACTGAATACTGAAAAATGCGTGATGGCTCGAATTATGTGTCCGGAAGTGTAATATGTAAATGACCTTGGATATCTATTAATCCCTCTTCAATATTCAAATATTGACCAAGAGCTAGAATTGTTTTCTGAACTTTGACAAATTGCGTATCAATAGACGGCATTGTGTGTTGCAAGCTAATTTATAAGTTACCGCTTGCTAATATGGGCAGATGGTACTAATACTAAACAAAATAAAAGTGTCGTTAAAAATCTGTGAAATAACCGCCATCTTGTTTTTTTTGTAAACGCACCCACTCAACATAGCCCCGCACATCTGTGTCGTAGGTGCCGTACACATAGACAACCACAAATTACACCCAAACTCACGAGAGAAATAAGTGTAGGCCATACAAATATTTCTCCCGGCCCGGGAATCGAGTCTGGGACCACTGCGTGGCAGTCCGGTATGGTAACCGTTCAGCCACTCGCTCGCGACATCTGGTATACCAATAGATACTAAATACCCGACTACGCTGTCTTGTATCGCGATTAGCAGTCCTTATGGGTTATTGATGCATGTTAAAAACGAAATCGACAAGTTGATTATTCCAAGGAAAATTTAATTAAATATTTGTACAACACCAAGCCAGACATTTAAGATTGCGATCACCGTTCTGTGTCCTGTTTGGTTCTACAGGTGTCCATTGTCATCCAGCGAGACAATGCTGCCTGTATAATGGGAACTTTTGAGCCAAGCACGATACAGGTAAGGTTTTTAGGTTAGATATTTTTGACGAAATCTGTTGTAAATTCCAATTTTTGTATTTTAGTACCTATTGACGAAGCCTAGCGCTGACATCTGTTTTTATTGAATAAAATGGATTTTAGTTTCTTAAGATTTAAATTCAATCATATGCCGCTCGCTCGTGATAAGAACGGTCCAAATTGTTAAGTTTGATGTGGTCTTGACTGTACACGTAGGTAAGGGCGCGTTCCTATGTCGTGAAGACATAGTCGTGCAGTTTAAAGTGTCGAGGCTTGTATATGTAAAATGGAGTTGTTCAGGGTTTTTGAACAAGAACTTTGTTTTGTAAATCAAAATAAAACAATAAATTTAGATGACAATGATTAAAATTTTTATTGTATTAAAAAAAGTAAGGTTTGGCGGTTATGAATGAAAAATGATATGATAAATGTCCACCACGACCACAGTTGCAGATGTCTATTCTTTCATCAAAGTTTTTAATTACTTTTTGACAAAATGGTGGGTCTATTTCGTTAATCACTTCATGAATTTTGAGTTTTAAGGCTGCACAATCGATTCGATTGCCTCCTCTCTTCGGCTGACTCTGTCTTTAACATAACCCCATAAAAAACAATCCAGCGGAGTTAAATCACATGATCGAGCTGGCCACTTAACGGCTAAATTTCGTGAAATTATGCGATTGGGAAATTTGGTTTGCAATAAATTAATTGTTTCGGTGGCAGTTAAAGATAGCGGTTTCGCGCGTTCCTTGCGCGCAGTGAGGCGTCAGACGCCGACCACAAAGTGATCCGGGCGCGCTAACACATCGCCATGTGGTGTAGTTGAAAAACAGGACGCGACGCGACGATGACGCTTTGGCTCTGCGCCAGTGTGAGTTGAGCCTTACTCTCCGTCTTTAAGCAGAATATTCTTAAGTAATTAAAGATGTCAGGTATTTATATTTAAGTAAATAATTATTCGTGGGCCGGCTTTACTAATAGTAAAAATATTACATTGTATATTAAGGGCGGTATATAAGGAATTACGAACAAGACTATTGGAAGCTCGAAGTCGAAGACAGTGCTTTCGGAGTCGAGGTTCGTACTGAATCCCCGTATCGCCCGTGAAACATAAAATGTTTTTCATCACATTTGCGAGTAAAAAGTATGATTGCATGCATCTTGACTATAAGGCTCAATTTATATTGCGCCGGAACGGAATGGAAGCGAATTTTTGTAACGATATTGTGCATAGTATAATGAATTTTGTGCGAGAATTTCGCAGAAGATTTTGGCTCATATCCAGTTTGTACGTTACAATTGACCATAAAGTTCATTATTCTAAGCACAATATCGTTACAAAAATTCGCTTCCATTCCGTTCCGCCGCAATATAAATTAAGCCTATGCACCAAATAAAACACTCGGACCCTTTTCTTCTTATTGCAGCCATGGTTGTGTATTGAGAAGCAAAAGGCCAGAGGGTTTTATTTGGGGCATTATAGTCAAGTTAGCCTGCCTGTATGCAATCATACTATTTACGTGCAAGTGTGATGAAAAATATTTTTCAGTTTCACTACTCCGATTCGTAATTTTGCACCTAGTATAAACATTTTTTCTTAAATATTTTGTGAGACCCGCATTAAGAATTCCAAACAAAATAACGAATTCAATTCCCATGCCCATCGTCGTCATTTCAACTTGTCGATTTACTGAACAATGTATATGACCAACTGTTTTTGTAGACTGAAGTGAGATTATAGTGCTGTTTGTATAAGAGTATTTGACTTTGACGTTTAAGGGATTGTTATAGCATTTATTTTACAGAAATATAAATATTGTGGTGTGCGGGCTTAATCATAACTAGTCCTTTTCTTGAAAATATATAAACTTGTTAATAGTGAGCTCATCGACTGCTGGTTTGATACAGTGGATGTTCTTAAATTTTTTAACTGTGTGTTGCTATTGCTACAAAGTGAGCTTGTACATAAATCAGTTTATCTTCAAATACTATTTCGATGGTTTATTTAAAATAGTATTCGTAATTTGTTTCCTTTTCGGCATTGACCTACCAATTTTTGGTGATCTCTTGTCTTGTTTGATTACAGACCAGGTACGGATGTGTAATGATAATGAAATATAACGACAAATAACATTTGTTATAATTTATAAGATCACTCATTGAATATAATCAATAAGAGGTATAACAACAAAAGGCATAATTTCAATGTGTATAAATAAACCTTCAGTATAACAAACGTTAGACATATTGGTTAGGTAACATAATGAACCAATGGTATAAGTATTACCAGTATTATGTATTAAATAATATAACACATTATTTCGTTTTAGAAATAGTTGAAGCGCCTAAGTGAATAAATTAGCACATGAAAGAGTGAAGATTGTTTAATTGTATATCAAAAACAATACACATCAACTCATGTCCATCATAAATTACGTTTTCATACCAAAAATATGATTTCTCGTTGAAATACCTACTGATTTCGCATCGAAATTTAGGATTGGCGACTCGCCGGCCGCTGCAGCGGCACGCTCGCTTCGCGCACCGTTATGCTCGCAGTTATAACCTAACCAAGGGGAAGTATCAGTTCTATAAATTATTTTTATGATTAGAGCCTAATACTCTAATGCGCTGCGCTCGTCAATGCATCTAAAAACACCTGGATAATATTTATAATACATTATACTCTGTGAATGTTAAATCTGAAATGTTTATATAAAATGTACATTATGCCATCGGTATATTAGATTAAAAGTTGTTATATCAATTGTTTATTATACCCAATGACCATGAGATCATGCAAGAATATGTCAAACCGTCGGGGATAGTGCAAATCCGCGTATGTAACACTGGTAAAAGGCGCGTATTTGCGCAAACCAAATGTTTTAGGGATTTAACGTTATTACTTTATTATTGCAATGGCTACTACTTTCATTTTTGCACAGTAAGCATTATGTTGTCTACACACTGATAACAATAGATGGGAATCTAATTTGGTTGCCACGACATATACGCGAATTTGATTTGGACACTAAATTACCGAAATGGAAACTCATAATCAAATGCTACTTACGCGTAATTGCACTATCTCCGACGAAATGTCTGTATACCGTAAATTAATTATATCCGTTGAGCGTAATATCGACCAAAAATATATCGCACATGACAACTGACATAGTATTATCTCAAAATGGCTTTAATTTATATTAATATTACCTATTTAGTTTCAAAGCGACCGTATTGTCCTGTCACTTTGAAATTAAATCGTATATGAATGACACATCAATATAACGAAATTTTGGAGAAAAATTATTAATATAACGCAATTTTGAGATAAAATATAACATGATGCCATTTTTTAGATAATAATAGGGGTTAAAGTATGAAATTGCCGATTTGTACTGAAAATCTAAATTGTTTATTTTTTAAATTTTTAACAAATTTATTTAATCAAAATAGTTGCCATTATTATCTATACATTGCTGCCATCTAATGGGAAGGTTATTAATGCCTTTGCGATAGAACTCCGACGATCTAGACTGCACAAACTGTGTGAAAGCATTTTGTACTGCCTCCTGGGAAGAAAACTTCTTGTCACGTAGATAATTGTCCAAATCACGAAAAAAATGGTAGTCCGTTGGAGCAAGGTCTGGTGAATACGGAGGATGACGAATGGTTCTGCAAACTGCAGTTCCTGAAGGGTCAAAATGGTTTCTCGTGCTGTGTGAGGTCTCGCGTTGTCGTGGAGCAATAATGGTGAAGATCGATTCATGAGTCGGGTTTTTATTGGTAAGTTTTGCTTTAGGACACTGTTGTGGCATTTGACCTGGGGTCAGCCATTGCATTTTTCTTTTCCGGTTATCATAAAGAATCCACTTTTCATCACATGTTACAATTCGATCCAATATTCCTTCATTTCTGTACCGGTTCAACAAGGCAACACAAGTTTCAACACGCGTTTCTTTCTGCAGATCAGTCAAATCATGAGGCACCCATTTTTCGTATTTTTTTATTTTATTG